GAAAAGTGGTTGCAAAGCTAACTTAGTTAGCGGATTCGGCTGGTTTTTCCTATACTTACTGAGCTTACTAAGCTTCAGCTATCACTTTATCCACCTATTGCTTCTAAGCGTAGTCCTTTCCTAACTTCTTCTTTGCTTTCTCTAGTTTCCCTTCGTTTAGGGTATACCCTTCTGGCCGAATCGCTTTGTTTAGGAGCTAGTAAGTAGCAACTTTATACTTCGGGTGTAAGCTACTATAAGGGTAGTGTCTCTTCTTAAACGGAAGTTTCTCTTACTTTGTTTCCGGTTTCGCCTCTTAGTGACCTTACTAGGTCGAGAAAGCGCCTTTTAGAGGAGTGGTTGATAACACTACCTATACTCCTATCTCGCGATTTATCGCGCGGAATAATTCAAGGAGATCTCGGGTATTGTACACCTTCTTTTCTATCACTATTTCCTGGTATTTACCTTACCACTATATAGGTAGAACTTCTTTTACGGTGTACAGGAAGTCCCTATTGGTATCTCTGTCCTTAATACTAAGACTAACCGCTTACTCCCTTAGCGAGTTCCACTTTTAGAGCTACTTATCGATGTCTCTAGTCGGCTTCTGTATTGCAAATACTTTCTAACTTATTCGGATTTCCTCCTTATACGCGGTCGATCGAGCGAACCGAGACTTCAGATATATAAGTCTATTATACGGTGTACGATATATAATCAGTGCGAGGTGGTATACTAGGTTAAGATAGGTGAGGATATATTTATTTATATCACTCAGTCCCTTTGCTTACTTCTCCTATCGAGTATAGCTTATTTTATATACGTCTGCTTAGTCTCTCTATTTCCTTCGATCTGTTTCGGTGCCCTCTTCAGGATATTCTGGTTGTACCGGTTCCTTTAGAGTATCAGGTCGTTCAGTTAACGGGGTATCCGGGTTGCAGTGATCCTAGACATTTTTTTGCATTGCGTATAGCTGCACCTTCGCAAACCAGGTGAGCCATTGCGGTGTATCCTTCAGTTTATCGCCCTTTATAGCGGAGAGAATCGATGCTGTTTCTATTGCTGGATACTGTGTTATTTTGATGTGAAACAAGGGATGACTTTCTGCGGAGTGGCTTCGTGGAGGTTTATAAGACAGTTTCTAGCAAGTTGCTAGGTACTATATGCCGATATAGTAGTCTTATTCAGTGCGAACCGGGCTTATAACTGTTGGACTACTCCGTATAGTGGAAATGTATGGGTCCAATCAATGGTCTTTAACTCTCCGTATTGCTGTATTGACTTCCTGGCAATTTATACTGTCCTGATTACATAAGAAATATTACTGCATACTTAGGATTAATAAATCCTCCGGTATCCTGGTGTATCTGCGCCGACATTCCCACCTACAGAAGGGGGTTTGAACCCCGAGTCCTATATGGCTTCGTACGTGATATTACGATGTGTCATGATCAACCTTGGAAGGTTAGTTAGTTAGTTAGTTAGAAGCCACAAATTGGTAAGCATCGAGCTCCTGACACCTGAGGTCCAGGGCCGGGCAGCCTTACGAGTCAAGTAATCCTGTAGTAGCATGAAACGGATTCGAGGTCAGAATTGAAATAGATCTAACAAGAAATGGTTGCTGGAAGGGACCTTTATGAAATGTAGCTGTAGATAATAATGTGTTCCGTCCATGGCCATGGTCAATATAGAAATAAAATACACATGAAATAGCATTTTACTGGAGATGTGCTATTAATTCTTGCTCATGTACCTATAATTATGTATGTACTAGCTTGAATGACACTATCCCACTTCCCCAGAGTAAACGGAGCGGAGATCAATCTGTGGAGCACTTCGCAAAATACGACGTGATAGCACCAATAAATCTTAGGACCTAGACTTAGGACTATGAGACAAGGTTGACTAGTGCTGCCTAGTGTGCCCCTTTGGGATATTGGCCTACAACATACGATGTGTCTGGTAGTGAAATTTGTAGTGTCGTTAGATTTAGACTCCTTCCCCGATGACACAAGGTGAGACGAGGGAAGGAGTATCTTCTTTTTAACTCGTCAGATTCGACGAGGGACTAAATCCATATCCCAATATGATTTCATGCCGACAAGATCTTAAATTGAGTTGGAAACAGCTGACCCGCACTGGAAATACATGCTGAAAAAAAGAGCCCAGTTGAGAGTTTTGCTGAATTCCATTTTTGCTTTTCCAGCACCATTTCCTCCACACGCCACTCCGAGGGGAATCGTTTGAAATCGTTTACTTGAGGGGAATGAAACGGGAAGAGTGGGTGGCACCGATACCGGGACGACCGTGCTTGACGGGCTTGCTGGGAGGTTGTTAGTGCTCTGTTATTAACGGTCATGGGAGAAAATCTCGGAAGCACATACTAAGAGATAGAGAACTCAGCCAGGTAGTGGCCAACCATCTCGGGCTTGATCTCAACCTGGTTGAACTCCTTGCCGGAGTAGATACCGACGACGGAACCGATCATCTCGGGGACGACGATCATGTCACGGAGGTGGGTCTTGACGAGATCGGGCTTCTCGTTGGGCTTGGCCTCCTGCTTGGCCTTGCGGAGCTTCTTGATGAGACCCATGGGCTTGCGCTTCAGACCGCGGTTGAAACGTCTGCGGGCACGGGCGTGGACGACATCACGGAGCTGCTCGGAGGAAAGGTCAAGGAGCCTATAAAAGAATTCAGTCAGACCAACGTCCGTGCAAACTTATAGTCCTTGGTGTTCATCCGCAATGCAGCGCCCCGGAGATAGGAACAAAAATGCCACCTGCAGTTCATCCCATAATGGTTGTTGGCATGGCAGATGACCACCTTCGATTCCGTCTCACGAAGCACTGGCTGCGAATGGATATCCAAGAGTTCGATGATTGACAATGGGAACGTACTGGTCGAGGTCAATACCGCGGTAAGAGAACTTGCGGAACTGTCTTCTCTTCTTGATCTCTGTTTGGCGAAGGTTCAGTCAGCGTCTGCGATCTTGTTGCGGTGTGTCTCCCTGCATCCCAGGTCTTGTCGTTCCCCGCTAACATGTATTTCTTCTTCCTTGATCATCGTATAGTCGATCGTAATGCGCGCCTTCTCCTTTCCTTCGATTCTTTTGTTCATGGGCGATGGGTAGGGGTGGGTTTGATTCTTCATAACGTACCGGCAGCCTCCTCGGCGTTCTAGATGAAACTCCATGTTAGTGTATTGCACGGGCTTCAAGGGCAAGAGCAAAAAAAAACTCACGTAATCGATGTCAGCCATTTTTGCAGATTCCTGTAAACCGCCTTTCGACCGTATCTCGAAAAGCGAAGGAAGATGAGTTGTCGGAAATTGTCGTGTCGCTGAGCGGTCGGGCTGCTAGCACACAGGCTCTACGAGGTGGGCAGCGCTCGTTAAGCGACGGGTAGGTTCCAAGCCCTAGACACTATACCGCTTTGGGATACGGGTAATCTATTTCGAAACATTGGTTTTTGATTTGTAATCAAATTCTTTGTAACCTTTATTTACTTGGCTTTGCCTGGGGAGGTCTCTGAAATGCTTGTACCCATAAATGTAATTTATTTGTATCATGATTACCAATTGTCTTCCCAGGGACGAGATGCCTGTCGTATCAGATGGGTTGTTGTTGACGGCCCTTATCTGAATATACAGACCTACATGTAGTAGTTCTATGGCGTGCCTGTTTAAATCTTTACATCGCTCTACAAGAGATTTTGGCTATACCCTATGGCTTGGAATGCCCAGCGGGTCCCGCCGATCTTTCAACAAGTACGTATTGGAAAAAAAAAAGGTTGTAGTGTGAAGGTCAGATGAATTGTACTGGCTAGTAGGAGCTTATTCCAGCTCACATGCAAAGTCGCAACTGTATCAAAACAGTCTTAAACAGAACACACTTGAGAAGCCAACCGGCGCAAATCTTGCCCGGACTGACGAACCAACCAAACATCTGTTCCCCAGAACCAGAATTTTTAGGCCTTGGATTAAATCGCTTAATCGAAGAGACCGAATCCCATATCCTCGTCGGACTCCTCCTCCTTCTCCTCCTCCTTCTCCTCAGCGGGAGCGGCGGCGGCGGCACCGCCGGCAGCGGCAGGGGCAGCAGCACCACCAGCACCGCCGGAGGGAACGGAAGCGAGCTTGGTAGAGCCCTCAGCAATCAGCTTTATAAAAAGTTAGCATGTAGTTCAGGTGAGATATGTGCGCGTACGAGTGTCACTAACCTGCTGGAGGTCCTTGCCCTGGAGCTCGGAGATGACCTTGTCGAGACGGTCACCCTCAGCGTCGATACCGACGGAGGAGAGAACAGCCTTGATATCGGCGGCGGAGGGAGCCTCGTTGCCAGCAAGGGCGAGGAGGAGGTAGGCAGCGAGATACTTCATTTTGAAAGGACTAGACCAAAAAAATCTTCATTAGCATCGCGAATTCGAGATTGAATTTCGATCGCACTTTTCAAGCCGCAAAATCGGCTGATAGACACGGAAACGAGTTGTACATACCGTTGATGATTATTATCTGAACAAGAGAAACAATCGATTTAACCGCGAATTGGGCGGAGACTGCAACGTCGAGTTCTGGTGGAAGAGGTTGGTTGACGAAGGATTAACCGAGTGCTCAAAATCTTGGAAAAAAGGTGGTGCGAGTGGGTGTGGCTAGTGTTGGCGGGACTTCTAAGCGAGTGCTGTGGCGCGTGTGTTTGCTACCACGTGACTATCTCATATCCGGCCTTGATAATTGCATGCTGGCCCAGAAACCTGTCTGCCTTCTCTACTCGTCTACACAGTCTATATATCTCACTTGGAAAGTTCTTGGGCCAAGTCAGGCGTGTCCTTTGCCTGTGCCAGTTCTGTTATATTGGAATAACAGAAAATCCGGAGCGAGCTAAGCCAGAGATCTATTCTCATGGTATCGGGCTCGGAGTCATGAAGTTACTTAGTCGTACCAAATATCGACGGTGAGCGACTTCTTCTCTGTATCACTCTTCGACTTTACACCCTTCGGGATATTCTTCCCACAAGTTTACAATGAGTGTATGGCTACCTATCTCCTCGTTTCACATCAGTGTTGACTGACATACAATAGTTCCTTGATTCTGTTCTCTCGTCTCTTCAGACGGGTAAGCCCTCCCAGCTCCCACCGCCTCAGGCGCCTACCTCGCCTGCGCCTGTTTTGATCCCCAAAAAAGAGGATCGAAAACCGATCGCTGTGCGACAGGCAGCTCCGATCAGTGGGAATGTCAGTGGAGGGACCAAGCGCAAAGCTGAGGACCAGCTGCCTCGCCTACCAAAACCTGAAAGCAAGGTGACAAATAACCCAGCTGCAATAAACCCGACACTTGCCACGAGACCAGCTGTACCATCCACAGCAACAAAAGTTGCGCCAAAGCCAGCCTCGACCTCCATCTCCAGGCAAGCCCTGTCAAAGCCCGGCCCCAAACCTAGCGTGTCTGCGGCCCCCAAAGTGGCAGCCCCACAGAAGGCGCCAACCCCCAAACCCACCGTGTCAACTGCTGCCACACAATCGAAGCCGCCACCAAAGGGATCATTTGCGGAGATTATGGCGCAGGCAAAAGCTAAGCAAGAGACGGCGCCTGTGGGAGTAGGCCTACTACGTCACCAAGCCGGCCCCAAAGAAAGACTTACCAAGGTGGAGCGCAAGCGGCGCATGATGGAAATGCAGGCCAAAGAAAAAGAAGCGCGCTTAGGAAGGAAGGCTGGATCGGGTGTTTCTGCCAAGGATAGGCCTGCCGTCCGGCAGCGTGATTCCCAGGGGCTCTCATACAAGGGCACAGCCAAACCGACGCAAACTCCCGAGCCGCCGACCTACCGTGGAACTGCTGGCTTGCCATCAAGCCGTGGTAGAAATGACCGTCGATACCAGTCTCGGAACTCCCGACAAAACGAATATCTCGGAACTGACGAGGAAGACGAGGGTGATCTCGGCGGCTACGACGATTACTACTCCGATGCATCGTCTGACATGGAGGCTGGAATAGACGACGTGGACCGCGAAGAGGCAGCTGCACTGGAATATGCCAAGCGGGAGGACGAGAAAGAGCTGCGACAAGAAATGGCGGCTAAGAAAGAGAAGCTGGAGCGCCAGCGGAAGTTGGCTGCTCTTGCCTCTAAGAGCAAGCGTTGAAGTTTGGACGTTTTTAAACTGTCATTTTTTTTCTTTTTTATCTTCAACTATTTTCTTTCATCTATCTCGTTTTGGGTACTAAATATTTACTCCGCATTATGAGCGTTCGGGGCGGGGGGTGTCCATAGACGGGGGTGCCTTCATTTTTGTTTTTGGAGCACCATCAATAGCGAGAGCTATTTCAATACCAAATTTCATATCTTGGAATATCCTTCTATATATTGTAGTCAACTTTGTAACACTTCATATTGAAGTCATCGGCTTTATATCATCTTGGAACTCTGAACAGGCTTGTCTAGGGCCCCACTTCGCGGGTGACATCACCCGCGTTCACCTCTAGCATAAGCTATCTTCTACTATCTTCTACTACAATTTTGCATAAATCTTCAACTATAAATCCACATACTTACCATGGAGTCCGTTCATCATGTCTCGGTCTCATCCAAGATCCTCTTCGGCAAGGTACGCAAGATTGTACCTCCAATGCTTGAAAAGTTCCACAAAGGTATGTTGGACAGGTCGATTGGAGTAATCGATGCTACCCACCACGCAATGAACAACCCTGCTGACCATTAGTTTAGGACAGCTCGGCCGTGTAGCCGTTATTGGAGGCTGTGTCGAGTAGGTTTTCTGCCTAGTGATACTGGTATCCTACTAACTGGCATAAGCTACACCGGAGCTCCATACTTTTCAGCAATGGCCTCTGCAAGACTTGGTACGTCCCCTAAATAGGCCCTTGCACTCTCCAAATATATTGACCCTCGAATTGTAGGATGTGACATGGTATGTGAGAAAGATGGCATGCCTTCTGCAAACGACTAACGACCACCAGAGCCACGTACTCTGCGAACGATCCGCAGCACCAGTAAGCTAACATCCGGTTTATATTGAGCCCGCTCTGAACATACAATGCATAGGTCATCAAGGGGTATTCTCCCAATTTGATGGTACACCCGTTGCTCCCAAGCAGCGACACTGTCAAGGATCCCAATTCAATTGATGCGCCATCACTAGCAGGTCCGATTATTGCGATGCTATCTCGCCTCCATGCACTTGTGATTGGACCTGGTCTCGGCCGCGACGGTGTGACGCTAAAGGTAGTCGCAGAAGTGATCAGAGAGGCACGGTCACAATCGATCCCATTTGTGTTGGATGCAGATGGATTGCTGATTGTGACGGAAGACCCGAGTCTGGTTAAAGGCTACAAGGAGTGCATTCTCACGCCAAATGTGGTGGAGTTTGGCCGTCTAGCCAAAGCTATGGGTATCAAGGTTGCCAGCCAAGCGGAGATTGCGCAAGGCGGAAACGGTGATACCACCAGCAAAGCATCAGATGCGTGTGAGCAGCTATCTCAAGCCCTCGGCGGCGTGACAATTCTCCAAAAAGGTCCTCAAGATGTGATCTCCAACGGGGTTACTAGTATTATCTCTGATACCAAGGGTGGCCTGAAGCGTAGTGGCGGTCAAGGAGACACTCTGACCGGATCACTGGGCACATTCCTTGCCTGGCGAGCGGCTTACCACGACAAATTGTGGGACTCTGGCGAGCAGGACAACAAGAAGGAGGCGCAAAGCAAGGAAGAAGTGCAGGCAGAGCTCGATTCTGAGAATAAGCGCATGTCCCCAACAACGACTCTGCTATTGGCAGCTTGGGCGGGAAGTAGCATTACACGAGAGTGTTCGCGACGAGCCTTTGCGGCCAAGGGCCGGAGCATGCAGGCCAGTGATCTGACCGATGAGGTTCACGGGGCGTTTTTGAGGTTGATCGGAGAGCCAGACGGGTCTAAGACACACCTCTAAGCTACAATGTCAATTCCTACTAGTTAGTCATGCCACTATCTAAAAAAGACTGTGTAGCTCTTGACACTAGAGCATGTCTTCATGTATGTAAGTCTTAGCTGCACGTAAACACCAATGAATGTCTTGTCCACTTTGTTATAGTCCTTACAAGCGGTGTATATAGTTATTAAAGGAAGAGTCTCGAACCCTGCTTTTCATACTCAGAAATCCCGATCCAATATTGTAATCTCAACTGCACTGAATTTGTACGGTGTTGTATAGTAACATAGAGCATCTTGTATGCACTTCATGCACTTCACTCGAAATAAAGAAACAGGTATATGTAAATATCGGCTTTCAAGGATCCATTGGCCAGCATGGTTAAACCCCGTCTTTCGGTGTTGATCCTAGAGATTCGGGGGCCTGTGACTGGTCCCGACTGCCGACGATCAGGTGAGAATATAATTTTACTGGCCAATAAATATCATTTGACAACACGATAACATTATGCTGACTCGGATTATTGGGATTGAACGGGCCTAACAGCCAAAAGCATATGTCCTGAATTGGTATCTTAGACCCCTAACCTTGATGAAATGCAGAGCAAAAGACCAAAAACAATGTGTCACAACCCCTGCCTCAGTCTCGAGTAGCTAGTGCCCAATATTCGCTGTCTCACTTGTTTTTTTGCCTGCCTTTTGTCATGTTCCAAAAGCTCGCAGAAGAGGAAGTCATTTGTATAAGTCTGACCAGATCAAACAATACCCAGCGTGACCATAAAGCTTCAAGCGATATGAGACATCTACCTTGGCAAGCTAAAATCCCTGCATCTCTATATGGCTGTTGACGTCGAGATCTGAATGTGGCCAAAGGAATGGCCCGAGACATGCACCCACCTTAGGTCTTCCATTGAATCGACATCCCCAAACCTGAATAGTCTTAAGTGTGCTGTTCAAAGGCATTGAGTTAAGAGGCTATCGATGCCACATTGACCGATAAACATTGATAGTGTTTTAAGATATTGTTCCAGATCTCGTATTAACAGCCCAACCCCAGTTGCTTTTGCCTCCCTCTACCTGATCATACCATAGGACACCAGACAGAGAGAATATATAGGATTGTAAAGGTCATCCGGTAACATTTTCAATAATTCAACCGTTGTACCCCATACGGGTATCATCTCCTTCGTAGACTAGCCTACACAGTATACTAGGAAACCCAGGCTAGAAGCGACCTCGTGATGCGTGACGCAGGACTGATGGGCTCCGTAGGGAACAGGGCGAGCAACATTTTCCACAACAAAGGAACACCGAGCCTAATGATCCACATCAGTAGGTATATCCTTGGAGAGGAGTATATAAGATGGGGAATCTCCCAGCAGAAGATAGCGCCCTCATAAGTCAATCCCCATACACAAGTCACCAGATCTACAACACATATATACATCTTCGAATCCAACCATTCATCACGATGCATTTCTCTATTATCCCCTTGATAATCGCCACCACCTCTCTTGTGGCCGCCGACTCAATAACATGGTGGCCCACCTGTGGCACCTGTAACCCCATCTCAGGCGAGAACGGGTGTGACCCCTCGACCTCGTGCATCAACACGGGAACATCCTTCCACTGCGCCTGTCGTGCTGGCTTCAAGGCATCCGAGTACAATAGCGATATGCACCATCAGTTCCGCTTACCGATGCCGAACTATGAGTTCCTTGTTTTCGTTCCTGAGTACACGGCTTGCAACATCCCGTGTGATGATTTGTACGCTGCTCCTTCCGATCTTTGCAAGGAGGTGGAGCTTCAATGGCAGTGCACAGCTTAGAATAATTGTGGGTTTACGGGAGGGAGAAGGGGGGTTTTCCAAACAAGGTATGGGTGGTATGGGGGTAGTGCAGTAGGCTCAAAGGACTGAGTCCTAGCGCAAGGTATTCTAGTGGATTGCATGTGTACATGTGTCACTAAATAAAATTACTTTGCTAGAAATTTAGGGATGTAAATGTAGATTAAACAAGTAGATTGGAAGGATCTTCTTAATTGACCCTACGAAATCATAAGAACCGACTCCATTTCCCTAATACACCCAAACACCAGTCGCCTTAATTCCAGCCAGTTTCACATGCATATTCAACACGCATAAAAAGCCCGATCGACATTGAAGAGAAAAACAGAACGGAAAGCTTTCACAATTACATGTCCATGTCGCCGTCTACTTCAGTGAAGAGCAGACGCGTACCGTTGCCAGTGACTTGCCAAAGCTATAGAGAATGTTAGTAAAAAAGGTACAGTGAGCGGCTGGAATTATCAAAACTTACGTTCATCTCGGCATATTCATCAATAGTCATGGTGAGGTTATCCTCAGTGAAGCCTCGGGCCAACACACGCTCACGGATACGTCTCATGCTCATCTCACCTTCCTCCCCATCTCCGACTGCAGCGGCACCACTCTCCTTCATACTGCGGATCAAGTTGTAGATCTTGCTGGATGGGGTGTTGTCGGCACCATGCTCGCCATCATTGTACAGAGAAGCCTTGCTGATCTCAATGAGACGCAGAGCCTCATCGACATCCTCGCGAACAACCTCCTCACTGAAGCGAAGACGAGCAAGTGCCTGCGAAAGACGAACGATACCGAGCAGAGTACGGGGACTGACGTGAGAGAACTGTCTCTTCTTGGACTCATCGATCTTTTGTCTCTTGCGCATGGCCACATAAGCACCAACCATGTAGTCAGAAACGTTGGTGGGCACAATAGGACGGAATGTGCGCGCCTTGGCAACGTACTGACGGACCTCATGAGGAGTGAACAGTACGCCGGAATCTTCATTCTCCGGGTGCTTGTTGTGCATGTGGACGTAGGTGACGTGGTGGGCCAGCTCCTCATCACCCTCACGGGACGGGGTATCCAGAAGCAGGAACATGACATCGAAACGAGAGAGCAAAGCAGCGGGAAGGTTGATGTTCTCCACGGGTGACACACGAGGGTTATAGCGACCATATACCGGGTTGGCCGCTGCCAGGATGGAAGTACGGGCATTAAGAGTAGTTGTGATACCGGCCTTTGAGATGGAGATAGTCTGCTGCTCCATCACTTCGTGAATAGCTGTCCGATCCGAGTCCTCCATCTTGTCAAACTCATCAATACAGCAGATACCGTTGTCTGCAAGAACAAGGGCACCTCCCTCCAGCACCATCTCGTCTGTGACAGGATCTCTCATGACTGCAGCGGTGAGACCAACGCCACTGCTTCCGCGTCCGGTGGTGTAGACTCCACGGGGAGCAACCTTGGTAATGTATCGGAGAAGCTGGGACTTGGCCACACCAGGGTCACCCATCAAGCAAATGTTGATGTCTCCACGAATGTGCATGCCGTCACCCATCTCTTTCGTGACACCGCCAATCAAGAGCAATAGCAATGCCTTCTTGACATCAAGGTGCCCATAGATTTCGGGTGCAATTGACCGTGAAAGGTACTCATACATATTACCAGAACGCTGGTGCTGCTCGATCTTGCGAAGAGTATGGCTGTCCATACCCATCTCATTGTAGGACTTCTTGTGCTGGGTGATGTGCTGGGCCTCCAAGTATGTGTCAGTCAGCAGTCCAGCGCGAATAGCCCGGAAACCAGTATAGGGAGTGGGCAAAAAGATGCCTGCCACGTCGACAACATCACCGGGATTCAGCTGGCGAGCCAGAGCGCCGTGGCAGTGAATAGTCAAACTGCGAGGAATATGGCCCACGGGGACCTGGTCGGCCATTTCCTGGATCTTCACCTCCTGGAAGGGAACAAACTTCGATGCACGAGTTGACAGGAAGAGCTGACCCTTCGAGTTGTTCTTCTTACATTCTTCTGACAAACACTCGGACAAGGGGAGGAATTGCTTGGTGGTGATGGGCTGGAACACTTCACAGCCACAACGGTCGCAAGTGTAGGCATTGATCTGTACAGCCGGCTTGACATCTGAGACACGGGTGGTGATGCCGCGGACTGTAATCAAGCTACCCAGGTGCTCACCGCGCACATAACGGACGGCAAGGGCTTTAGAACTGCGCTCGGCGCTAGACCCTGAAGGTGTGATGGGCTTGAAGTTGAGGGTATATCTGCGGGTGAGCTCCGGAGGGAACATAGATGGGGCAGTCGCAGCGGCTTCCATGTCGGCCTCCATTGCAGTTTCCATTGTCTCATTTCGCTTCTCGCGCTGAGACATGATTACATCAAGCACATCATCTTTGAATCTGTACAATAATTAGTTCCGCAGCCTGCGCATTCACATAGAGACAAGTTTGGCATACGTGACATCCTTCGTCTCCCTGGGCATAACTTCATCGACCGCTTGAGAGATAACATCGATGTAGCGTTTTGTGTTCTTTTCGATAGATTCAACAAGCTTCAGGTCTTCTCCCTCTGGAAGTGATTTCTCGAACTATTACAGCCATTGTGAGCTATAATCCACTCAGAGGGGCTGATATCCGATACTCACAATTGACAGGTCATCTAGCTCAATCAAGATATTAGATTTATCCCGGTTTGCGATATCCTGCAGAATTTGCATGTACTTGAGCTTCGGCTCCCGGTGCCTCCTTGCTCCTCGGGCGTTTGCCCCATTCGTCTCATCGGCATCATCCATGAAATCATATTCATCGCTAGTTTGTCCGTCATCGATGTTCAGATCCTCCAACGCCTCGGTCGCAGCGGCTTCTGAGGACGATTGGAAGGTCTTGAACCCCTTCAAGAAATCCTTGAAGCCATTCAGTTGCGCGGAATAATCCACAGGCGGGGGATATTGAAGGAGAGACATGATAACAAAGTGCGCTCGATTGAAAGCACAAAGAATCGATAGTGGGATCGGGAGAGAAATAGAGAAGAGGGTCCAGCGGCTATCCGAGCCCCTACCAAATTCGTTGGTAAAACGCGAACGCGAGGTCAATACGCGCTGAGAAATGGCACTAACCTGATTAGGAAAGGTGTCAATGATGGCGGATTATTAGTTAATCCAGCTATCAGTTACAGATCACATGACTCTTCATCGGGCCGAGGCGAAAGAGAGATAGTGTGGAGTCCGGGGTCGTGTCTCTCCCGAGTTCATGATTCCCCCTCCTCCTTGTCTTTCCGGCATTCACGATAATTCAGCGCTTGAAAATGGCGCCCAAGAAGCCTGCTGCAACGGCTGAAGTCGCCCTCATCCCTCTCAAGAACTGCCTTGTTAATCTACCGCCGTCGCTGGTCGCTCTGCTGGTCAATGCAAACACGGTCAGTCTACTAGTTGTTCTGTTTTTGTGGATATTTCTGGCTAACATCTAGCTGTACCAGACTGCTCAGAACGTTATTATCGAATTACAATATAAATCGGGCTCCGGAAAGGCCAATGGAGCTCCTCCGCAGCAATCATGCTTCCTCGGTTGGACGGGTATGCCGAGCAAGCGCAGGCTTGCGCCTGTTGTTGGGAGAGAGGGTATCAACAGCGGATATTCTAGGGAACAGGAAACATCCACTGTTGAGCTTGATACTACTTTCGGGCGGCTCCTTGGTCTTACAGAAGGTCAGAAGGTATACAATACTCCCCGTGCGTCATTACCCACGTGAGGCGCTAACACTTGCAGGTCGGATTGTTTATTCACCTCGATCCACCCGTTGCCCATACGATAAACATTGAGCCATTGACACCAGAAGACTGGGAGAGTATGTTCAAATCGTAAACAGCTATAATTGAACTGACACTAATTTGACACTAGTCATTGAACTCCACGCCACATTCCTGGAACTTAACCTCTTGTCACAAATTCGCGCTTTACCCAATCCTACATACAATGCAGCGCAATCGGTCCATATGCACCCACTTGCATTGCATCTCTCTCCCACATCTACCGCCAATATTGTCGTGACTTCTCTTACACCCGCTCCCTCAGAAACCTCCCCGTTCGTCAAGATTGCGCCGGATGCAGAAGTCATAGTGGCTCCTAAAGTTCGATCCAAGACAAGCAAAAGCTCTCGGGCTGATAGCCGCAGTGCTACGGGTAGTAGCAGGAAGAGTGCTGGGGGCAGGAGTGCTTCGAGCACTGTGCGCCCGAAGAGTAGTCGGTCCGACACTAGCACACGAAGCTCTCTCTACTTGAGAGGTGTGGACCGCTCAGCGACCACTCAATACTTTGATGGGGAAATAGAAGATGATGCAAATGAGGGCCTCCGTATTTGGGTTGATCCGGACCTGTTGACTAGTCATGAGCTGCGCGGAGCGACTTGGGCATGCGTGTCAGTTGTCCAGCCATCAGGTCTTAAACCCCCACCAGATCCCCAACAGCAACTTGCTCAAGCTGAACAGCAAAAGTCTAATGATGCCGGTGCCATTACAACCAAGCTCGTGGCTAAATTGCTTCCGTGGGAGGAGGCTCCAGACAATCAGCATGCAGCGATGTCCACCTTGTTGTGCACGGCGCTTGGTGCGGAGAACATGGTTGGAGGAATCATCCGAGTCGAAGCAGCACCCCCACAGCTGCATCGCTCGGCAGTCAAGACCCTTAAAGTCTATCCTTTCATAGGCGATGCTTTAAAGAAGAAAGACGGGCTGAAGTTCGGCGCTGACACTGCGGCATCTCGGGATGCCCTGGCCGAGCGCCTCAAAGTCATCTACGGCAGCACTGGGTCCGATACCGGGCTGTTCTCGGGGCCTTTGACTGATGGAATGATTCTCCCCAAATCCGAGTATCACCCTTCAGTCTCTTCGTTCGACGGTGCTATTATTCGCTTTGATCCCCCTTTGAAGGGGGCTCCGGATGAAACAAAGTCAATGTTCGGGTGGTTACTGGGCTCAGAAGCTAAGCTGAATCTTGAAGTCCAAGCCGAAATCCCCAAGCCATTTGACTCTAGTTCATCGGTGCTACCTATGGAGGATCTTCTCCCAGAAACTGCTCCTCAATTGGTAGGGATTGATTCTATCATTGAACAGTCATTGAACAACCTAACAAAGTCTTCGTCTATCTTGCTTACCGGTGGTCTTGGCGCTGGTAAAACAGCTCTTGCCCATCTACTGGCCCATCGCCTGAGACGAGACCATCTCTTCAATGTCAAGTATTTCTCCTGCCGCAAGCTCGTCACGGATGAAACCCGTATTTCCAACATCAAAGAGACCCTAAACCGCCTCTTCATGTCTGCATCATGGTGTGCGCGCCTTGGTGGCCGGTCAGTCGTGATCCTTGAAGATCTAGACAAGCTTTGCCCAGCAGAGACTGAATTGCAAGTGGGTGGAGAAAATGGCCGCAGTCGCCAGAGCAGCGAGGTTATCTGCTCTATGGTCCGAGAATATTGCGCGCTGAATTCCTCTGTTGTGCTACTTGCCACTGCCCAGGCTAAGGAGTCCCTAAATAATGTCATCATTGGCGGCCACGTTGTCCGTGAGATCATCAATATGAGAGCTCCTGACAAGGAAGGACGCCGAAGGGTATTGGAAAAACTTACTAGCGAAGATAAACCTACAGAAAGCTCAAACGGGCATGTGAGAGCCACAAGCTCCTCAACGCAAGACTCATGGTTAGATCCTTCAAATCCAGGGAGCCGACCAAGCTCTTCTGCGGGTGATGGCTTTGTTATTGGAAGGGATGTCGAATATCTAGAGCTGGCCGGCAAAACCGATGGGTATATGCCCGGTGATCTTGTGCTACTTGTTGCTCGTGCGCGCAATGAAGCCCTCATTCGCTCTGTCTCGGATCTGACAGCAACATCAAAGATGATTACCCTTGGGCTAGAGGACTTTGAAAGTGCATTGAAGGATTTTACCCCGGCGTCTCTACGCAACGTCACTCTTACCTCGTCAACAACGACATTTTCCTCTGTTGGTGGTTTGTTCGAAACTCGTAAGATGCTGTTGGAAACTTTGCAGTATCCTACAAAGTATGCCCCAATCTTCGCACAGTGCCCATTGCGACTGCGGTCTGGTTTGCTTCTCTATGGATTCCCTGGCTGCGGTAAGACAATGCTGGCCAGCGCAGTGGCTGGCGAGTGTGGATTGAACTTTATCAGTGTCAAGGGTCCCGAGATTTTGAACAAATACATCGGAGCCAGCGAAAAGAGCGTTCGTGATTTGTTCGAGAGAGCCCAAGCCGCTCGTCCTTGCGTCCTCTTCTTCGATGAGTTCGATAGTATTGCACCCAAGCGGGGTCATGACTCTACCGGTGTCACAGACCGTGTGGTCAACCAGCTTTTAACACAAATGGACGGCGCAGAAGGCCTCTCGGGCGTTTATGTGCTAGCAGCAACGTCACGGCCGGACTTGATCGATCCTGCCCTTCTTCGCCCCGGCCGTCTCGATAAGTCCTTGCTTTGTGGGATGCCCAACCATGAAGACCGCATTGATATCATCCGCTCAGTAAGTGCCAAGCTCAAGATGAGCGACGAGGTCACGTCTCGTTTCGGTGATATTGCCGCCGAGACCGATGGATTTTCTGGTGCAGATCTACAGGCTGTCGTGTACAACGCCCACCTAGAAGCAGTCCACGACGCGCTGGGTGACCGTTCTACCGATACAGCGAAGTCTGGTGCTAAGTCAAACTCCACCAATGCTTCTAGCAAATCGTTTATCCAGTTCCTCTATTCCTCTTCGGAAGAAGCATCCGGGTCTGTCTCGATGCCAGCCCCAGCAGTGATTGCAGCCAAACTGGAGGCAATCAAAAACTCGCGTCGCCGCCAACGCCAGCTCGAACAGGGACCTTCCGGTGCGAACAATGCCGCGGCCCCGGTGGCTAACGGCACCGAGCCTGATGCAGATGAGCTTCGCGAGGATATCATTGTCCGCTGGGAGCATGTTGAGCGCTCATTGGCTACCACGCGTGGTTCCCTCCCCCCTGCAGAGCGTAGACGCCTACAGGGAATTTACCGTGAGTTTATCGCAGGTCGAAATGGTGAAATGCCTAATGGCGAGGCCGCCAATGAAATTGGAGGTCGAACAAGTCTGATGTGATATCTTTTCACTCTGTGACTTGTTTTGTACACTGTATATATCAACATTCTTGTATGCTCGATTGATTATTTAGCTTCTATTCTTGTATTTATCAATATTGGTAAATGGGCATGCTATTATACATTTGAATGCTGTCGTGTGACTTTCTACCCTTCCAACTCTACTAGTCACTGTGGAATACGTATTACCTCTCGGCATTTTTACCTAGCTGCATGGTGCTGTGAGGACTAATTGGCTTGGTGCCATCTTATTTTTTCTCCTTTAGTTTGTTATGTATAGCGTGCGTATATTATTGAATCTGCTGTATCTGGATCTATTGTGAAGGAGCGAAGTTGTCTTCTCAAGGGAAATATCATTGTTTTATTATCTAGTTAATTTTTCCCTTGTTTGTGACTGTTTCTTTTACTTTCATACAGCAATATCAAAACACGGAGATGAGCCATAGAATACTGAAACCAAGATCCCGGTAATTGCATTGAAGTTGATAAGGATAGTTGCAATCATGTGGATGGATGTGGATGGATGTGGGAAAGAAGTAGGAGCTGGTGAGGGGGACATCAAAAAGCTTTTTGATCGAGATCATTCAATATCTCAATGACGGTGTTGTGTTGTATGCCTTCCATTTTACAATCCACTCCTTGCATGCTGTGGAAATTTCACTCCGAGTCGTGCTTTTCTCGATTGGCGGTGGTGAAATAAGCATTGGACGTCAGCCAGGAAGTTGAACAATCGAATTATGCGAAGATTTTGATTGAGAGCGGCATTGGCTCTAGCCTGAGTGTAGGAAATATCGTAATATGTCGTAAGGGCAGATTCCCATTTATACGCCCTTTCTTCTTCTTCGTCAAACATGCGGGGAATAGCTTGACTATCCATGGGCAATTGTGTTCTGATCCTGCTTCTCACTGAAATTGACGGGGTAATTAGACTATCCGTCTGGGATGGGACGACGTAATTCGAAAAACAACTGCGCAGTTTGCCCTTTTAACGACGAGATCTCCTGTGATAGGCTGTCTAACTGTTCAAGCACAGAAAGACCCATACTATTTCCAACCCTTGGTTTGGAATAGTGAAGGGTAAGCTCCCTGGCTGGGATCATATACAGGATGTGATCCATTTGTGCTGGTGAAACCAAGTGGCTGTACGGGGCTTTATTCGTAGAGGGGTGGAATCGGTTGTGTCCAGAGGCATCAAATTTGGTTCGTCGAGGATATCCAAGCTGCATCTTGTGGCGGCATCATAGTCCTCGGTGATCCCATATGTGAACTGCTGCGGGGCGTAGAAGGATGGAGCGCCGAAAAGAGATAGTGCATGCGCACTAGCTCCTGCGAATGCTGGCAATATCGGAAGAAGACATCATAAAGTGGCGAGAGGATCTCGGGCTTTGACAATCAGAGCCTGAAAAGCAGACGGGCAGGGTCTAGACTTACCATTCCACGTACAGCTCGTACCGGAGACCAGCCCAAATCTTGGAGATAAGATACAACAAACTCCAACTGTATATCAATGAATTAACATTTGGAATCGAGCTATAGGCGGAAGAGATGAAGTTACCACTTGATGAGCCCATACCCAGGATTCAAACCCTGGGAGCAGAACTTAAAGTAATCATACCTGTATGTCATATTGTTAGCATTCAGAACCGATGCATGAATAACACAGAAATAAGTCTCACCAATGGGCAGCCAACCCCTCGAGAACCAACCCCCACACTACAGAACCCCCTCTTACCATCTTCACCGAAAGCAACAACAGAAAGCTCCCCCAGACAAAGTCCAAGTTCGCTCATTGGCTAGCTGCTGAGCTCTGGCTCCGGCAAAGGCACCAGCACAAACGGCACCCAAGGACCCTATTCGAATCAAAAGTCAGCGAAGTCCAATCCAAATGAAGTAAACAAATTTCATCTCAGATAGAACATGTAAAGTGAATATAAAGTGAGGAAGCAGTGAGGATAAACCAAGAACAAACTGAAGCCAAGGCAAGGTTGGAAGGAATAAGAATGAAATGTAATTTACTTACCAACGTCGTCGATGCGACAGAAGACTAGGTGCCTCACCATGGATCAAGATTCGGGCGGGGGTAGGCTTACCCCGGCGCTCCGCAATCGATCCCATGAGCGCGCGAGCCTCTTGTCGCTGACGGTGGGCTTCGTACCCTGGGATCTGCTGATAACCTGGGGGAATCACCGGAGTCCTAATGGCGGCAATCCGGGGGGACGCAGCCCGACGGCTGGCCCCGTAGCGGGGAGAGCTACTGGTCTCGAGAGTGGCACGAACCTCATTGGAGCGGCGAGTTGGTGGTCCATTCTCCATGGACCACCGAGAAGAGAACGCAGCCATCTCAAAGGCATTCATTTTTGTGTTGTTTGCGGTATCGAATTGCCTTTGTAATAGAAAAAGGATGGCGAACTTGAGGGAGAAGAAGCGAGAAGAAAAGAAAAGGATCTGGGGTTTGTTTATATAGTCCCAAACCAGCCCGAAGAGGAAGGGTCGACCGGCTTTGGAGGGGAATTGGCTGACCTACAACCGGGCATCGACTTCGGGTCGTTCCTGCTCTCTCGGGTTATAAGAGGCGAGACCATAGGTAAAGACTTATTGTTTTATTATATAAGGTGCTCAATCCATTCCAGCAATGCTGGTCATGTTGTTGCAGTTTCATCGAATTTGAGTAAAATAAACAAAAGGCCTCAAAAGTACGTTATTCTTTCTCTAGAGCCGTTTTGACAAGACGTTCAAGCTTGTTCCACTCAGCGGAGAGAACAGCTTTCGTCTTGCTAGGATCAAGGCCATTGGCTTTGAACTCATTATGAACCTGCACAAACTGATTTCCAACAAGCTTCCTGAAGCTGGGCACAGTACAGCTCTCCGACTGTGTGCTAGTAAGCTCGGCGAGAACATACCAAATCAAGTAGTGGAAGTTCAGCTTGAAGTCCTGAATCTGGACGGGGTCTTTGGGATCAGGCTGAAAGCCCTCCTGGGATATGAAGACAGTGAGCCTGACCAAGCTCCATGCATGGATGTGTCTGATGGGGTGGGCCTTTTCGTAGACAACAGGATCAATTCGCAGGTATCGAATGGCAGCGTGGATGAACGCCCGGGTGAAATTACCAGCCGTTAGCAGAGATATGATCAGCTTGTCGCGGAGAGAAGCATATGGCTGACGGGTGATAGGCCATAGTGCAGTTTCATGGAGCTTGTGCATAGCGGCTTCCAGCTTCGCGATTGCGTCTGCTGGCTCCGTGCTAGTTGCAGTTGCAGTCTGCATGAGCTCTAGGGCTTCACGCTCTGCTGTCTCTAGGGGTGTCATGTCTTCAGGTGTAGACAAGAACCGGTCTTCGACAGTATCCGCTCCCTTCTGGCATTTTGTGCACTGGCAGTCGAAGAAGTAACGTTCTTTCAGTTCGTTGCGACGAATGTCGTATGGTGTTGTGGTATCAATATAGGATATGAAGATTTGCTCGCCCTTTTTGATGGGATGCATAGCCTTGACGTACAGTTCTTCACCGTCAAATCCAACGGTGGAGTTGTAGTCGCAGCTGTGGTTAATCAACCCGGCATATGGATGCATGTAGAGGCCAATGCGGTCATACATGTGGGTGGTAAGGTTGAAGGAGTTGAGATCCAGCTATAAAGGATAGTCAGATGAAAATTATGTGAAGTAAGAGATGTAAGGCTGAAAACAATTACCTTGGCCGCATAAGTAGCGACAGTCCCTTCATCCATATCTGTCGCTGAGTAATTCTTGACAGCTCTTGCCGTCAGGTTGATCCTATCGAGCTGGCCTTGGCTCTCCGAGATCTCATTGATGTGAGTCTCCAAATTTTCGAAGACCTTTAACTCTTCAGAATCGTACTTGCTGCGTGCTGTGCGCAGCACTATGCGTAGAAGGGCACGGGCATTGTTGGGCAGCACCATAGGCTTGACGTTTTTGAAGATGGAGCATTCAAGAGAATGCGCAAACTTCCAGTCTTTAGATTGGCATGCCTAGTAGTCATGTTTTAGAAGACTCAACCAAACATAATCTTTTGTAGGATGAGAAATATGAAACAGCAAACGCTATATCGCCATAGCAACTCACCCTATCACAATACTTCACAACACGACATCCTGTGCAAGCTTTCAACTCGTTTCCAGTTTCCATCTGTCTCTTTCCAAAGCAGCCAGCACATGTGTCTTCTAAACGTGGAGAATCAAGAACGGCCACAAATGGTGTTTTGATGTGCAAAACATCTTCACCGGGGTTGATGTTTGTTGTCGCAAATAGACCGTTGCCCATGCCATTGGGCGCAGGCTGTGGGACCGTCCTGGTCATCACTGAAGGTAGTGCAGTTCTTGATGCCATTTTGGGTGATATGAATATAGGAATAAGAATTATTTGAGGACTTATCGATCAAAGCGGATAGTCGTCCACGTGGGCAGGGCGGTGAATTCATTATATTTGAATATCTTGGCATTTATAGAAGAAGATTGATAGAATCTCTCACATGGCGCCCACTACGGGCGACGAAGTATGCCACCCAGGACTTAATTCTCATTAGGTGATATTGCTATGCAGAGATGTCTGTTGTATACATAATAATTTATGCCAAATAATATGATATATGTATACGGAGTAGAGTTATAGTAGATAACCAATATTATCGGCAAAATGAATAAGGGCGCGAAGATATAACTAATGGTCTAAAGCCGAATGCCCAATTTTCAGAGTTAATACTGCGTCACAATGTACATATGTGTAAGTTAGAATAGTTAGCCGATTTATATAGCCTTATGTGGTCTTTTTAGTGGTCTTTTGTAGTATTTTTTCTCAATTATTCTTTTTAGAGCTGTTTTTCTAGATATTTTCTCCCCCTTCTCAGTTTTGTAATTAGATGATGCTTCGAAAAACGGTGATAAATTCAGTCTGGTAGTATTAACCAGTGAGAATTAAGTCCCAGATATGAAGGCAGAGAGAGAGGAAAGAGAACATCAGCCTAAACTCCTAGGAAAACTAGAGACTGGCTCTATATATATGCAAAATGGGTATGAATGCAGATAACCAGACACCGCGTATGTGCTGAAGACGGAAAAACAAAGATGATTCTACGCAGAAATCCACACTTCGTCAAAATTCAAAAATTTAGAGCTGAAATAAATCAGTTTCGAGATATATTTTAGGCAAGAATTACTATGTACACATATGGAATAGCTCGTTAAAACCGTATAGACCCAGGGACTCAAGTCCCAGGCAACAAAATATCATACATAAAAGGAACCACACTCAAGACCTAGAACATAGCCGCAAAAGCAGCAACAGCAGCAACACCCAGCGGTGCAGCAGTAATCAAAGGCTTTGCACCACCGGCAGCAGCACCAGTAGAAGCAGTAGAAGTAGTAGAGGCAGTTGAGGCAGTTGAGGCAGCAGAGGCAGTGCGAGTCACCTTCACTGGGGAAGCCGAACCCGTCGCATCAGCCGTCAAAGCGTAGGCACCGTCAGTGACAGTAAGAATGTGATAGCTAATCGAATACTCTGGGATCGATTGGGTGCTAGTTGCGGAAGAGGAAGTGGTGATATCCTCATAGACGGCAGTGAATGCAAGACTCCACGTGCACACAGCAGATTCAGAAACTCGGGTGAAACTGCATCCCTCAACACCGGTTGCAATGGCTGTAGCACCGGAAGAAATAACAGTCGCTTCGATAGAGGCGCTGTAGGTGGTAGGGCCCTGGACAATGGTTGCGGGATGCTTCAATGCGCACTCGGAGGCACCTTTCATGCAGGCAACCTCGTAGGTCGTGGCATACTTGCCAATGGCAACAACGCGGGCTGCGGTGCTAGTGTAGGCGTTGATATCGATGCCATTGCTATTTTGGTCGACTCCAAAAAAGCTGATAGTTGTTGTGCCGGGCTCAGCAGCTGCGGCCAGAGCTGCTAGGGCAGAAACGAGGAAGTAAGTTGAGCGCATGTTTGCAAGGTTTGAAGATGAGAGTTTTCGGAGTGGTAGAAGCAGAAAGAATTGGGGTTAGGCAGAAGAAAAGAAGTCAGGAAGCAGGGGGGGGGGGCCTTAAAATACTAGAACGACAATGTCTGTCGTGTGACTAGCGTGCTCAACTTGGACCCCGAAAAGAACCACGGAGTTCCGGGAGCGCCAAGCAAGTAGCGCTCGAACACTACCGCTATATTATAGTATGGCAAAACGTGGAGCCTCGCGCTGATAGGTCATTTTAATTGAAGAGTCACGAAGAAAAGCTAAAGCCAGGTTGGTGCACGGAGTAGACCCCAGAGGGGCTAGGGTTCTGACTCATATGCATCGTTCAAGCCCAAGGCTATCTATGTTGAAAGTGAAGAAGTTGAAGGTAATAAAAAAGAAGGGACAGTAGAAGCCATTATTGGTCGCAAGGGTCGGCCAAAATTGCTGTCATCAGTGAGAAAAACTGAGGCAAAAGATCAGACATTCTTGTGATTGGGTGCCCATAAGGAGGCTCAAGCCCCACTGGCCGGCCCCAAGGCTATTATTTATTGTGGCTGAACCCCTGAAAATAAATACCCATGCACATTGTGTGGTAGGGCTAGTTATACGCACATGTACGGACTACAGATAAAAGATTTTTCAAGGCACAGTTAATTCGTATACAGGAAGCACACCACTGTGCCCGACCTCGATTCGCCGCAAGTAGAGTAGAGAGTAGAGATGGGGAACAATTCAATGATTCATAAGGAAAAGACAACATTCCAATCCGAGAGTACAATAATTAAAAAGGCCGAAAAGACAATGCACGCCATCTATCAACAAGATTGCCCTGCCCACTACACCATACAGGAAGTTAAGATCCTGTCCTATACTGGAAAATCATGACGGGAGGACCTGGGAAGGTCATAGGGGATATCGAGCGGAGAGAGGTGTTTACTTCCTGTCTCTCTTGGCGTCGACATAGTAGGGCTTTTTTTTTCTCTCTCTCTTCTTCTGTCACTTTGTGCAAAAAAAATTTTAAAAAAAATAGAGATTTACAGCGCCTTGCCGCCGACGAAGTTGGACCAGGTGCGGACCTCGGAAGGAATTTCCTCGGTACGGGGGAGCTTCTCACTCATGCACTGAGCGAAGAGCTGGGCAGTCTGTAGAGAAGATCAATTAGTAACTTAAATCATTATGGGTATCGGCACTTTGAACATACCTTAGCCTCCATGAAGAGGGGAACGTTGAAATCGACAGCGTTGCGACGCATGACATAGTCATCATCAAGCTGGGTCTTGCCACGGGTCTTGGCAAGGTTGAAGCAGCCACGGATGTCGTACTTCTGGAACACCTCGCGGAGAGCACGCTTGTCCTTCTTGGGGAACTCAATCAGCTGCACGGAGACATTGTCCTTGGTGGTGGACTCGATGTGAGCCTTGACCTCGGAGTTAACAGCGAAGAACTTGTAGCCAAGAGGATTCAGGTACTCGACAATGTTGGTCAGGTAGGGCTGAGTGATATCACCGCCGAGCAAGATACCCTCACCGGGCTCGGGCATGCGGAAGTTCATGGTGGACTGGAGGGAAGCCCAGTAGGCCTCGATCAGATCCTTACCGAAGCAAGCAATTTCACCGGTGGAGGACATCTCAACACCCAGGAAGGGGTCAGCACCAGCCAGACGGGTCCAAGAGAACTGGGGAACCTTGGTGGCGAGGTAGTCACGCTTCACCTTCATGAGATCAACGGGCTCAGGGACATCACGGCCGACGAGAGCCTTGGTGGCGACGTCGATGAAGTTGGTACCCAGGACCTTGCTGACGAAGGGGAAGGAGCGGGAGGCGCGCAGGTTGCACTCAATAACCTTGAGAGCGGGCTCGGCACCCTCCTGATCGGCCTTGATGATCTGCATGTTGAAGGGGCCAGTGATGTTCCAGGCCTTGGCGACCTTCTCGGCGATCTCCTTGACGCGGGCCATGATGGGCTCCTCGAGGTTGGCGGGGGGAGGACAAGGGTGGCATCACCGGAGTGAACACCAGCAGGCTCGACGTGCTCAGAGACAGCGTGAACAAGCAGCTTACCGTTGGAAGCGACAGCATCCACATCGATCTCCTCGGCACCCTCAATGAACTTGGTGATGACAACGGGGTGATCAGGGGAAACGGCAGCGGCGTTCAGGAGCTTCTCCTTGAGCTCATCCACGCCGTAGATGACGTTCATAGCGGCACCGGACAGGACGTAACTGGGACGAACCAGAACGGGGTAACCAACAGTGTCGGCGAAGGCCTCGGCATCAGCGACAGAGGTCAGTTCCTTCCAGGCGGGCTGGTCGACACCAATGCTGTCGAGAATCGAAGAGAACTTGTGACGATCCTCGGCCTTGTCAATATCCAGAGGATTAGTGCCCAGAATAGTAGCACCACCGGACTCTTGCAGGCGGAGGGCAATGTTCTGAGGCAGCTGACCACCGACAGAGACAACAACACCGCTAGCGGACTCGAGCTCGTAAATATCCATGACACGCTCGTAGCTGAGCTCCTCGAAGTACAGCTTGTCAGCGGTATCGAAGTCAGTAGAGTAGGTCTCGGGGTTGTAGTTGATCATAACAGTCTTCTTGCCCATCTCGCGGAGGGAGAGAGTGGCGTTAACAGCGCACCAATCGAACTCGACGGAGCTACCAATACGGTACACACCGCTACCCAGAATGATAGTTCCGTGGTCATCGAAGGTAACGTCGTGGGAAGAAGCGTTGTAGGTGGTGTAGAGGTAGTTGGTATCGGCAGGGAACTCGGCAGCAAGGGTATCGATCTTCTTAACCCAAGGGGTGATACCGAAAGACTTACGGCGGGCACGGACATCATCCTCGGTGGCTCCGACAAGGAGAGAGATCTGCTTATCAGAGAAACCGAGCTTCTTGGCCTTCATCAGGATTTCCTGCTTAAGGCCGAAGAGGCTGCCGATCTCCTTCAGTTCGTTGTTGCAATCCACGATGTTCTGGATCTTGTACAAGAACCACTTGTCGATCTTTGTCAGCTCGTGGACCTTCTCAACCGAGTAATTCTCGTGGAGCATAGCCTGGCCAACGGCCAACCAGCGGCGATCAGTAGGGTTACGGAGAGTCTCATCAAGGTCATCGAACTTATCACCCTGGAGACCAAGGTATTGAGGGTCAACCTGACGGATAGCCTTCTGCAGGGACTCCTCCCAGGTACGGCCAATAGCCATAACCTCACCAACCGACTTCATGGCAGAGCCAATGTCGCGGTTGACGTGCTGGAACTTGCTCAAATCCCAGCGGGGAATCTTAGTGACAACGTAGTCCAGACTGGGCTCAAAGTTGGCGGTAGTGGTCTTGGTAACGGCGTTAGGGAGCTCGGGAAGAGTGTGTCCCAAACCAATCTTAGCCGCGGTATAAGCAAGCGGGTAGCCGGTGGCCTTGGAAGCCAGAGCGGACGAACGCGAAAGACGAGCATTGACCTCAATAACACGGTAGTCGAGTCCATCGGGCTGCAGAGCGTACTGGACATTGCACTCGCCAACGACGCCCAAGTGACGGACAATCTTGATAGCAGCAGTGCGGAGCATATGATACTCCTCATCAGACAGAGTCTGACTAGGGGCAACAACGATACTGTCACCGGTGTGAATTCCGAGAGGATCGAAGTTCTCCATGTTGCAAACGGTAATACAGTTGTTATCAGCGTCACGGACAACCTCGTACTCAACCTCCTTCCAGCCCTTGAGGGACTTCTCAACCAGGATCTGGGGAGAGAGAGACAGAGAGCGGGAGGACAAGTCACGGAGCTCATCGGGGTTGGAAGCGAAGCCAGAACCCAGACCACCGAGGGCGTAAGCAGATCGGACAATGATGGGGTAGCCAACCTCCTCGGCAGCCTTGAGAGCGTCCTCGACAGTCTCGACGGCGGTCGATTCGGCAATAGGAATATCAATCTCGTTCAAGGCCTGGGCAAAGAGGTCACGGTCCTCACTGGTCTCTAGGGTCTTGATAGGGGTACCGAGAACCTTGACACCGTAGCGTTCAAAGGTGCCCATACGGTTCATCTGCACACCCAAGTTTAGGGCAGTCTGACCACCGAAGGTGAGGAGAATACCATCGGGGCGCTCGCGCTCAATGACGTGGGTAACATATTCAGGGGTGACGGGGAGATAGTAGACTTCGTCCGCAAGTTTGTGGTCGGTCTGGATGGTCGCGATGTTGGGGTTGATCAAGATTGAGTGGACGCCAGCTTCCTTCAGGGCCTTGAGAGCTTGAGAACCTGTTGTATCACAAGATCAAGAGATTAGTTGCTGCTTTCATTTGAATTGATTTTGTAGGTGTCATTTTTAAGCTCTCTGTATTCCCCGCAGAAAGCCTCCCCGTGCAGACCCTACGGGGGACTGACGGGGCAATTAAATCGGCACGGAAATTGCATTTCCAAATTATTCCAACTTACCAGAATAGTCGAATTCTCCGGCCTGTCCAATACTTAGACCACCACTACCAATGACGAGGACCTTCTTCACATCAACAAGCTTGCTACCAGTCGCCACGGCACCGCTAGCGAGGTAGGACTCGGCGGCCGGGGGCTTCTGAGCATTCAAGCGGTTCAAAGTGCTGGAGAGAGAACGGAGCTGCTGAGACCGAGCCGTGGGGATCTTCTGTAGGCGTAGAGTCGAGGTCGCCGAACGAACGGACTGAGATGAGAATGCACGTAGAGAGAGTGCCGGGCGGGTTTCAGCGATGCAGCGCTGGCGCAGCAGGGCGGCCGCCTGCCCACATCGAGCAGCAAGAACCATTGCGCACCGAAGGTAATGTTTCAATTGCTGAGAGATGTGTTGAGGATGAGTCTGCTTTTCTGGGATTCTTTTTTTTCCGCCACTCAGTCGCTAATTGGCTCGTGCCCTTCACCGTATACGGCTCCACTTTTGAAGAACAACGAGGGAAAGCCGGGGGGATATGTTGTGGGATAATTGGGATTATGTATATAAATCTGGAAGATCTAATAATTAATGTTAATATTTTAATATAGACGAAGTCGATTTTTGTTCTTATACTTTTTTTTTCCCCCTGCTTTAATTTTCTTTTACCGATGAGTCAAAACCTGGATGTGGAGACGGGGTTCTCTCGGCAACCTCGTTTGTACACAAATAGACCCCCTATGTATACTAAGTAGAGTCACCAGCAGATATTCTACGGTTATCTACATTGTCATTCATAAAGAAGTTATAGAATGCATAGCAGGCAATCAGTGGCTTCCAGCAAGAACACCACTCTGTGATATTATACATGCCGATGTCGGACCCTAACCCTATCTCTTATCTCTCGACTTCACGTACAACCTTTCACCACAACTATTCTCGTTACCTACGTACGACAATGTCTAGTTCATATGTATCAACATAGCAGAGAGCTAGCCACGTTAAATGATGAATCCGGTGCATAGATATGGGATGAATGCGGGTGTAAGACCTGGGAGTTGATCGAACAAGTAATATGAATTTAGGCTAGGGGATGGAAAGGCAGAATATTGACTATTGTGCTTCGGTGTATGGTCAATTTGAATGTATTTTGAGATTCAGGGTGTGATTATTAGATGAAGCAAACTGATGATTGGCAGTAGCTTCTAAGTGCAGCTGGTTGGAGTTCCAGGACCAAAAAGATTAGTCGGAAAATAAACTAAGTATACGGAGTAGATGACCACAGCATTCTCGAAGATGACTAGTTTTGCAAATTACTAGGGATCTTCGTGTCGATCTTAATATTTGGTGAGTGAAATACCCAATTCCGCTAATGAATATTTTGTCGACCTACGAATTTAGCTGATTTTCGATCGCACATTATGATGTCCAAACCACGTCCTTGAGGACTATCGAGCTCCCTTGTTTAACAAAAATAGGTAAGGATGCTCAAAATAATGGAGCATTGTGGGTTTTAATATGGAGAATGTAAATCTCACACACGAGAGAATTCGGCATTTTTGATGTTCAATCTCAAGTTTGTGGTGAGCCTAACATACACAATAAAGGGCAAATAAAGATGGTACCTCTATATATATATATATAGGAAATTCATTATAAGATTGCATTCTGATGTTAGGTCGAAAGCTTCTCTGCTTGTTCCTTTTGTTGTTGTGTCTCTCTCGTGGATATCGCAAGGAGTTTATCTTTCTACTTTGAAGGTAAATAATATACAAGAAAAGAAGTCAGAATACAGAAGAAGGGTTGAAACAATGATAGCGATATGAAGCAGTATCACAATGCCAACGGGAGATAGGATAAACCACCATATAAGGAGATGCATAAAGACAAAGCATGGTCTTCACCACGCGACCTCGGGACCTCCAGGGCTCGGGAATTGGCTTATATAAGAGCACCATTAAGCCTTTGAACAAATAAAAGCCCCATGGATCCAACCATATTAACTAGCTGTATCCACAAGGAGCATATTGTCCAATCACAAGCCTCTACATATTTTCCCCTTCACCAAGGTCGTATATAATATCTACTCACTAGGCATGGTTCTCAGATCCCGAGCGTGATAAATTGAGACATAGACAGAAATATTTCTCGGCTTTTGACAACCGCTGCCTGCCTTCAAAAAGTATTGGTAATATCCATATCCGACACAGGACGACGGAATTTTTTCTTAGGACACAGGTACCGTAGATATTACACAGTAGATCTGATGCAATTACACAGTATCCTGGGCTATATACATGTATGTGAATGTCAGAGACTTTGTGATTATATATCCTCCCAATCTGGGTAGGGGGATACAAGAGATAGAAAAAACTAAAATGGTATAATCGAGGTACTCCTTTGTGTATATATATTTAACTGCCACCTGCCACAGCCGTCCAATCACTGTGCTGAAAACAACTTATGAAATTCACTGGATACGGCGGGCTTCCAATATGTTACCTGAATGACAACTTACTACAGAGTACTAAGCAGAATATCCCGCTAAAACAGAATCGAGTGTAATGTACGGAGTACTGAATTTGAGGTCATGATCCTCTACACCGTCAGAAAGTAGACAAACCCCAACAAACTCAGACTTACAACCAAATACCAACATGGCTGGATTGAGCCGAAATGAACAGGGTAAATTAAAATACAAACTATTATAATATATACAACACAGTAAAATTATTCTACAACACCCACTCTCCCATTCAGACCTGACCAAGGACCACTCGGTTGTTTTTCAATGCGAGACCCACCTCTCGACACCCCCTTTGCGGAGCGATTCTCTCGACTCTCTAGCATGACTTCATCAAGGTCTTGATTGAGGGTCTTATATACATCAGCCAGGGTCTTTCGGGCGTCCTGCGCAACCTCAGTACCCAATGCGATCTTTTGCTGAACAAAGTCTCGTTCGTTGGCAGCTGCAGCCTTAGAAGCAAATGCCCATGCTTCAGCAAGACCAACAACCTCATCTGGGATCTGATCGGAGGTCTGGATCTGGTTTCGCAAGTCGAGAGTAGCAGCCGTATGTTTAAAGCGCGGCTGGCGGGCGGGTGTGGGGTATTCAGGGAGTAGGTGGGATTCGTCGCTCAGACGATTGAGGGCACGGAGGGTCGTGGATTTTTCTTTCGAGAGTAAGCCGGATAAATAGGATTTTTGGAGAGCCAGCGACTTTTGACTCTTGATTAGCGGAATCAGGTTTTCGTTTGTGTATGACAGAACGTCGATTGGGTTGGGTGGTGGCATTTCTGCTATGACAAGTTCGTTTTTGATGATTGGTCGTGACGGAGGCTTCTGAGCCACATTAATTGGCTGACAAGCTCTGGAGGCGGCGTCAAGGAGCTCTTGCCGGGCTCGCACATATGCGGCATATTGCTCCATAATCTGTATCTTGCCATTCTCTAGCCCTTGCTGGGCCTCCTCGATTTCCTCCGGAGGAAGTTCTTGGAGCAAACTCTCATCTGGATCTCCTTGACCAACCAGCCGTTCCTCCACCCATTGTACTAGCTCATCCCGTGTCTTTTGTAACGCTTGTATTTTGGCATCTGAAGTCTCGGCTCGGGGGTCATGCTGTGCCTTGGCTTTCTCAAATAATTGCTTTTGGTGATCTAATTGAGTTCGTGCGCGGACAACTGCTCTCTCGAGGCTATGCACTAGTTCATCCAAGTCTGTTTCCGTGCCATTGCGCCCAGTCTCTGCATCTACCTCCGGCAACAGCAGATGCTCCCCATCGTTCCTAACGTCCTCCAAGCTGCCCGCATCCCGCGTTTTAATTTCTTCAAGATAATTCTGAAACACCTGCAGTTTGGTATAGCGACGTCGATCGCGTAGGAGGGCAAGGTATTCACGAAGTTCGGTGCCGGGCTCTTGCAGATCAGCATCGTCAGAAGTGCGATTCGGGGACGTCCTCTGGCGCCTCAACGAGGCGATATTCTCAGAAGTTAAGGTGAACTCTTTGCGGGCTGCAACATTGGCCGCCAATGCCTTCAGATAATCCTTTCTCAGCCCAGGGAGGTCGGTAGGGATACGTTTAACATTGGTAACAGCATCGGTCGACGCACACAGGGAGAGGTGGGATTGAGAAAGATCGCTTGGCTGATCGTCGAATTCAATAAACGAGCACAGATAAGATGTCAGTGCCTGGCGGATATGAAGGGTTTCCTGGCGCGACTTGATGTAAGGAGCTAGCGGTTTCAACACGGGTGGAATGTGGGTAGCGTCAGGGGAGTTGGGTCGGGCCATGGTTTGTTTCATTGGGCGGGGGTTTGGGGTACTATGCAAACTTAGATATTTGGAAGAGAGACAACCTGAGACCCTGACAGGCCTTGGAAGTCTTCACTGCCACAGTCCACTTGTGATACCCCTTGAGATCGAAGTTGTTTTTCAAGGTTGGCTCTTTGGATTACAGGCTTATGTAATATGCAGATCCCGACCTGCTCCCCCGGTCCTGAAGTGGAGCTTATTGTTAGGGGAGTTGAAGCATCGATGATATGTTGAGTATGACGTTTCTTGGGGCTTATATGAACTTGAACATGCTGTTCAATGATAAATTAACTCTATTATTACTCAATTTACTGGATAACTCCAATTGAGACATCTAATATGCCTCAAAAAGGGGCCCGAGCAACATGTGTACTCTGTACAATCTCCATTATTTGTACAATGTAAATAGACCAACAGAGATAGATATTCATAAATTATGCCATGAGACAGCTGCCAAATAGCCCATTTAGTGTGTCAGCTTTTTTCTTCTCAGGTGAATAGTGTAGATTTTCCTACAAGATGCCTGGAATGTCACTATTTTATTAGAGCTATGATGTATGGAGTACATGTGCCTACATTCAGTAGATGCAGATTACGTGCACGGCCCAATCAAAGCGACAAAGGATAAAACATCTCACGGCAAGAGAGAAGCCCAACTTTTCATATCTCTATCTCTCTCTTCCTGCCTTTCTCAATTTCTTTCACTGTTGAAAAGGAGGGCTCTGGACCCCCTCCATAACTGGTATGTTTCAAAAGTCTCCCTGGAATTTGCATCAAGGGGTGTTTTGATTCATAATGCTGGTCCCAAAATCTGGCTTATTCCAAGGCTGAAACACTTATAGTTCAGTCCTCTCGACTCACATGCCGACTACAGGTGCAGAAAATTAAACTTACTGTTAAGCAATATCATCGAATATACCTGATGGCCATGGCTCCTGACTTGAGTGCCGATTCCAACTCTAATATGTCACGACCTCATGCGGCAACAACGGCACCCGCTATGGCGTCGCAGTCTCCAACACCCCGGCAGCCAACACACAGCCCTCATACCGCTGCAGCATTCCTGCCCCCAGGAAGTCCACCACTGGGAACGGGAGATTATGGCATCACACGTACTGCCCAGGGTAAGTCCACAGTGCCTAGGTGGCGTCACTTTCACAAGCTTGCCGACTAACAGAACAAGGGCCATTGCGTCATCCTCAGCCGCTGACACCTTCGGATCTCCATCTAGTGCTTGAGAAAGAGCAAGAAGCAATGGTAAGTTGGATTCCATATACCTGCCCCCCCTCAACCGCTGACGCATCAAAACACTCTAGGTAAATCGATTGACCCGAGAACTATCTATTATCCGCCAGCAGACAGCATCTGTGGCATCGACAGCATCCTCAACCTCGACATTTAATGAGGCAGATGGCGCACGAGCATCACCTACCCTCAGCAGTTCAACCCGATCTCACTCCGCCCGACGAAACCGTTCCAATTCGAGCCTCAGCTCAAACCAGGGCCCGCAGTCTGCAAGTGTCACTGGGATTGCTCCCTCACGAGAGATTCCATATCGCCCAGCAGACCATTCTCGAACGGCTCGCAGTCGCGAGCCGTCCATTACATCTCGCCGACCCTCTATCGGGTCATCCTCGTTTCCCCACAATAACAGCAGCATATACCCACATCGAAGCTCAGTATCACAGACCCAGTTAGGAAATTCACCTGGAAGCTCGCTGTCGCGGTTTGAAGAGGCCACACATCACAGGTTGGAGGTGGAATATATGAAGCGGGAGAACGAACAGCTCAGGAGGCGGGTGCGGGATCTGGAGCAGATTTTAAAGAGGCAAAAGGAGGAATCGGCAGGTGAGGCTTCTGCCACATCATCTGAAAGAATCATCGATGCCTGATTCAACTTCTATTCCAACTCATTTCATTCTTTCGTATTGCCACCGTGGAGGCAGTGCCCAACATTTTCATATCGGGGAGGTTTGCAGGCAAACACATTCAACGAAATCCCTAGCTTTCACATGTAAATCAATTTTCTAGGCAGCTCCAATGAAAATCATGTAATCCAATCAAACAGAAACAAAACTAGATGAAAGCGTCAAAATGAAATTAGCTACGCGAGGCGGTGCAACAGCCCCGCCATACGTCATAACGTCACTTGTGGCGCAGTAGGCCTCATTAGATAAATAGTCGCATCTCACCTGGGAAATGATGTGACTTTTGGATTCCTCTTTACAAGATTCTTTTCTCCTCTATCTAACATAATGTCTCACTCTACTGTTCACGTTTCTGGCATCTCGTCAACAACCTCCGAGAAGGAGGTTCGTGACTTCTTCAGCTTCTGGTACATTGTCGCAATTCCAAAGTGCTTTGACTGACATCTTGCTAACTTCAACAGTGGAAAAATTGTCACTCTCTCTATCACCCCAGTTTCTGGCGAACCCGACGCTCAGAAGTCTGCCACTGTGACTTTTGAGAAGGAAGCGTAAGTTACCCCGCACCCAGTTGAACTTCATTTCCCGCAGCCCACACGAAATACAAACTAACTCAATTCCCTAAAAACAGCGCTGCCAAAACTGCCCTTCTCCTTGATCAGACACAGCTTGGCACCTCTGCCGTGCACGTCGAAGCAGCACACAACATTGAAGACATCGCCGGAGCGCAAGCCACTGGCGCAGGAGGCGAGACCACTAAGGAAGAAGAGCACCACATCGCACAAGAAGACAAGCCCCGCTCACGCATTGTCGCAGAGTACCTGGCGCACGGGTATGTGGTGAGCGACAATGCGATCATGAAGGCAATCGCGCTGGACAAGAAGCACGGAGTCTCAAACCGCTTCACGTCGGCGCTTAACAACTTCGATAAGAAGTACAATGCCACTGAGCGCGCTAAGGGTATTGATGATAGCTACCAAATCTCCACTAAGGCGGCCACTGGCTGGCGCGGCCTAAGCTCGTACTTCGAGAAGGCCCTGGAGCACCCCTCCGGCCAGAAGCTGCGTGACTTTTATGTTCAGACCGATAAGCAGGTGCGCGATATCCACGCCGAGGCTCGTCGCCTGGCAGATCTGAAGCAGGGTAAGAGTGGCGAGGCTACGCCTGCTGCTGCTGAGCCCGTTGCTGCTGCTCCTCAGCCTGAAGCTGCTGCTGCCCCTTCTGAGAAGGCGTAAGGGAATCTTTGGGGATGATGTCTTAACCTAATGCGGAGATGAATAATTGTGTTAGGCGTTTTTCTTTATGTCTATCACTTTATCCTTTCCCTTCTTATGATGCCATGCCATGTCCATAGTTTATTCTTTTCTTTCTGCCTGTCTGATAACTTTATTTTTGGGCTCTTGCTACAAGCGAGCCTTTGATAACTAGCAAAGCAAATGGACATAAATGTTGATTTTACTCCAGATATTGAATGTATTGTTTCCATGTATTGTTTTACTAAGTACATAGCTCAAAGAAGGATGAGGATGAGCTTATTCTTCATGATATCATTATCCCAAATTCAAAAACAGGAATCTTCAAAGTACACGCAACCATCTCAGTGTTGTCTTCACTTGGCAAACTTCTCTGCCACAACTTTCTCTAGCGGGTGTTCGGGGTTGCTAGTCAGCACATTGTCCCTAAATTCCTCTGACGATTGCTGCGAGGGCTCGTGTGCTGGGGGTTTTCCAACATTGGTCCTGCCGGAGCCGGGGGTATCCTGCTGCTGGGCACCAGATTGGCGTTCCGGAGAGGGGGATTGGCGGCCAGGGTATGGAGCAGACATTGTTGTGGATATTCCAGAGGTGGATTTTATTTGCTAAAGATAAGGATAAGTGTTAGTTTCTTACCGATTGAAGAGGGGGAATGAAGTAAGAGATTATCTGGTGATATCTTCATACTAACCTTCAGTCAATGATGTAGTCTGAGTGCTGGCTGATGTGGAATGTTTGTGTTTAAAGTGTACAAAATAGGATTTGAGAAGGAATTGTACTCTTTTTATTATAGTCTCGAAATTAACTGACGTTACCAGCTAAACCGGTCTGGGGCTCATCATAATGACGTGTGGAGTGGCTCTTGAAACAGTATCTCTCCATTCCAACTACAACTACCAACCTAAGATGGATATTGGCAACTTTCTGATTATACTAACGAGATGTGTGTCCTGAGGCTGTTCTGTACAAAAAAAGCCTTTTTTTACTAATTGTACAGCGAGGCTGTATGACCATAGATCCACTATAGGCACGTTGGCACTGGAACATTTTCTTATTCATTTGATACTGTGATATTGAAATACAAGATCGAGGGACTACAGCAAAATGGACATCGAAATGCGTTTAGCTTGCAAGTGCCTTATTGTATAACATTAATACATGCGGGTCTTCTAGTTGACTTTAAACCTCTCAAGATATATGGCCATGACGTCATTCACCTTGTTTTGACCTCACATCTGCTTCCTTCTACACTCCTACACTCCTACAGTTGAAGAAGAGAATTTCGAAAGCGGACCGCATTAGGAAGCTCAGTTAATGGTGAACTCCGCGCTGGGAGTAATTGGAGTAATTGGAGTAATTGGAGGGATTATCTTTTTTGTTCTTTCTTTTAAGCTTGACTAGCTAAGACCACTAATGTAAGACTAATATACTATAGTAAGCCCAGCTAAGAGAGTAGTATAAGACTATTATCCTATAGGGCAGTTATATACTATTAGCAGAGAGTTAAAGTAAAATGTATATGATAAATAGTGGGATCCGGTCTATTTGAATATGGTTCAAGGTTGGTTGCTAATAATCCTTCCATCGCTGAGTGGGTGAGAGACACAAGGCCATCTGATTGATGGGTAGAACAGTGAGCACGGGTGATACCGCATTGGGAACCTCAGTTAATGGTGAAACTGGTGAGGATCGATCCTGCACTGGAAGTAGTTGGAAGGGTTATCTTTTTTTGGCCCGACCAGGTAAGAGACCAACCAACTAGCAGGACTTTTATCCCATCACTCCTTCCTTTTAATAACCCCCTATTCCTGCCGAGGCATGGTGTATGCAGTGTGTCAACTCGATTGCGAACATCCCGGCTGGCCTGTGTCAGACTCCGCGGCTGGTATCAAGTGTCACCACTGCCATTTGCAACATCAGACCAGCATTAATGCGCTGTCCAAGAGCATTACGAGGACTCTTAAACGCTGTCAAAGCAGCGCGCCGAGCAGCAGGAGCCACGGCAAGGATGACTGCATTCGCTTGGGCGTCTAACCGGGGGTCCACCATGATGCAAGTCTGATGCTGCAAATAGCAGTACTGACACTTGATCCCAGCCGCGGATTCTGACACAGGCCAGCCGGGATGTTCGCGATCGAGTTGACACACCGCATACACCATGCCTCGGCAGGAGTAGCGGGCGCAGCCACCGAAACAAAGTTGGAAACACCACCGTTGAAGGACATGGCAGGAAGAAGAGCATGAGGGCATACTCCTAAAAAGAGGGGGACACACTGCCTTTAAAAACCTCAAAGAAATCTTGACACTACGACTCGGCAACTATGACAGACAAAGAACAACGCCACAGGACTCCACCAAAGCCGTCAAACAAAGCGAGAAGCAGGACGGCCTGCCATGTCAAAGGTAGGAGAGCATGCCAAGTGCGACATGCATAAAAGAAGGGAGGTAATGTCACGACCTCTTCCAATGAAGATGGACTTGAAGTAGATCTATACTTCCCTCGGAAGTGGGTGCGGAGAGTTATATGATCTCGCTTATCCGCGCACAACTATACAAAGTACTAGAACTCGGAGCAAGTATTAGAAGCGCAGAGTTCAGTTTGAATACAAGCGGTACTAGTGTCATGCATTCGCAGTAGTATCGTAGAACTCCTCTCACTCTGATCGATCTATCTAAGACCCTAGATAGTGGGGTCTTCACATTCTGAACTCTTAAAGGATAGCAACTTCCTCATCACAATATCATTTTTGATTCTAACACTTGGTATATCAATGTAGGTTGATGCGGGCGATTCCTGATCCCATTATCAGGCAGGTGAGCTGCAGCTTTTAGACCTTGACTCAAGACATTACATACTACGCCAACCAAAGAACACAGTGAGAGTTCTTAGTCCCGCTACCCTTAGAATAGTAGATTTTAGTTCCTGCTTTTGTGGCTTTCTGGGAGACCGGTTTTGGGCCTTGTTGGGTGTCAGCGCTTGGATACCTACATGAGTAAATCTTGAAATGTACTTGTGACAATGTGGATTCGGTTCCAAGTCCACCTATGTGGCTGGTATCTACGGTACTACAGATTCCAGAACTGGAATCCAACATTTGTAGCATGGCTGATGTACTATATCATGAGAAAACAAGGGTGTCTTCAGGGGAATCTGTGCATCGAAGAGGATTAGGAAGGGGAGGGGGAGGGAGAATACCCTCGAGCAGAATGTCCACGGGTAGGACTTTTAAGAGTACATCAGCGAGAGCATGGCAGAAAAAAAGACACGACGAAAGAAACACGGAGGTACAGAGCAGATGGGACATGATCTAGAGAAGCGGGAAAGACATGAAATGGGCATATGGTCTCGTCAGGAAAATGTGGAAGGGGGAAATAGAGACTAGACGTCCGAGGCATTGGAAATTCGAAGCTTTTTTTTTTTTTTTGTTTTTCTCAATCCATCTCGGTTATAGTCTCTTAGTTGCCGTTGGACTGCATGCTCGCTGCGGCGGCTGCCTCTGCGTTGGCTGCGGCGACCATCGCCTTGGCGTCAGCTTCGTGGAAGACACCTTGAATGACCTGCTGCTCTTCGGGGCCGAGAACCTTGGTCAGACTCTCGTAGAGCTGGGGCTGTTCTTGCTGAAGGCCTAAAATTGAGGTTAGCGGTTGATACACAAGGAAGATATTCTCATAGGGGTCACTTACTCAGCAGGACATGCTTGAACATGCCATATGGCTCCACCTTGTCCAGAGGGGTCTCCAGAAGGCTTTCCTCGTCCATGTCATCATCGTCATCGTCAGTGTAGGAGCCGAACTTTTGAGCCTCCTGGTTGAGGAAGTCGAGGTAAGCGGCACTCTCGTCGGGCACATCTTCCTCATCGAGAGCTGCTTCAATCTCATTTTCGTCCCACTCAACATCTCCATCCCAGTCATTATCTTCGTCGTCCTCGTCGTCCTCGTCATCGAGAGTGAAATCGGACTCCTTGGTAGCATCCTCACGTTCTGAATAAATTCTTAGCTTTGGGGGAACACGATGGGAGATTTAGGGAAACGTACGCTTGAGAGCAGCAGGTAGGGTCTGGAAGAGTCTGGTCACACCCTGCAACAGTCTTGGCCATCCCTGCTGGACACTGACCGGAACATCGGTAGCTTTCAGAGTGAGCAGCGAGCTGATTGCAGCAATTGATAATTTCTTGTCGTGCACACGTCTGAAGTTGTCAATGTTAGCGAACCAAGTGCTGAAGAACTTGTTTGTCCAACCCTTGGCCTCCATAACCTGTAGACTGAGAGTTGAGTTGTAGTAGATTGCGTTGATCACCATCTCCATCAAGTGGATGCGGTACGACTTGGTGTGTGCCTCGCCGGCGTCGAGAACCCGCATAGCCATCTCGATGAACATGGGGATATACTGGTCAATGTGTCCCCGAAGGTTGAGCATCAGGGTCTCAGCAAGCTTGCACCCGCAGATGCGGTCAACGCCGCCAACCTTGTCGTCAGCGAAGATGTCCTGCACCATACCGACCATAGCATCCAGGTAAGCTGGGTTCTGAACCAGCATATCAGAGCCATAAGCGACATAGTTGTCAAGGGCGGGGAGCATGTCTGCACACAGAATAGTCAATATAAATTTAAAACCGCGTGAATTGATGTCAACCTCTTACCTTCGAGATACAGCTCAGCACCAGCCTTGAAAGTCTTGTGAATCAGCTCGAAAGCTTGCCACATGGACGGGGAAATGGTCTTGGATGCGAATGTGCAGCTGTCAATGATCTCAAAAATTTCGTTATAGAGATCTAGAATATCCAATTAGACCTGGACATGCGCTTAATATATTTCAAAACTTACCATAAAGCTTGTTCTCCAGGGTGATGCTGATGACGGGCATCAGGATGGTCTCAAGGTGCAGAAGCACATCAGGGGTGCTCTCGAGTGTAAGAATGAGGGTGCCGATGGTTTGCAACACACCCAGAGCGGTGATGCTCTTGTCGTCCAGGAAATCACCGTAGCCATCTTCGTCACCGCCCTTGGAGGCGTTGCGCTCCAGGAGCTCACCAACAATACGCATGTAAGTATCGCGGAGCTGCTCACTCAGCGCCACAGCGAAGGGAGTAAGTTCAGCAGAGAAGACCTCAACAAAGTCCTCCATGACGTTGGCCAGGGCATCGACATCGACCTCATTGGCCAACTTGAGAAGCTGCTGCATAATCTGGGGGATGTTCTGCTGCATTGATGTACGGATGACATCGTGGCGGATAAGGGGCTGCAGAGCAAGGGCGGCCTCAACTCGCACGGGAAGTTCGGAATCGGTCATGGACTCGAGTATGTTTCGGTAGATAACCATGAGGTTGTTCGGGTCCTTGAAATCGAGCTGCTCGAACTTCTCCAAGGTGTCGCAAGCACGAGCACGGAGGAAGCCGTGCGGACTGCGGAATTCGGGGAAAACATGACGGACGAAGAAGTATTCGACTTGATCAGCAATCGGGCTCTTCTTGCCTAGAATAACGGAAGCAAGGGAGCCAATCATTCTCAAAGCGCCCTCCTTCTCCCTGGGCTGCTTCTGCTCATCTGGTGCAGACTCATACTTGCTAACAATACTGTTCACGAATGTGAGAATCGAGAAGGTCTGCTTCTTGCGGTTCTTAGTGAGGGAAACCAAGAAGTTTGTGGCGGCAACATCAGGAGCAGACACTTCCTCATAGAAGTTCAACTTGCGGTGGAGATACTCAGATGGGTCATCTTCGAAAAGCTCAATGTCCTCATCGGACTGGCACAAGATAGGGAAAACAAAGTGAGCGATCAGGTTATCCATGTGTGGCTTCAAGTGGTCCCACATGGCCTTTGGCTTGACACACTCCTCCATAAAGACCAAAGTATATGAAAGTGCAGAGTTGCTGAGCCACTGCGTCTTAGACACCCACTTGTCAATCTCGGTCAGGTATCCCTTGAGGATTTCGGGGGCGAAAGTGCTGATAAAAGTCTTCGCATACGGTGTGTAGTCGGGGGTCGAGGATTTTGTGATCGTGGTCGGGTTGCCATATCTGATGAATAGGCGGTTGAGGTTGGCATATGACCACTTCTTGCACTTCCACCAGTGATTCATCTCCCTCTCCTCCTTCGAATCTCCCATTGAGCTTGCAGGGGGTGTCTTCGAGACAATGCGCAGGAATAGTGTACACCAGTCCACAGTTGCCTGGTGGGTTTGTAGGCATGGAGAAAGCTCGAACTAAATTCGCAACCAGTCAGTATAAATGGCCTAGCCAGGCGCAGACTAGAATCAGGGCAACTGACGTAAATTGCGTGCTTGAAAGCCTTCACCACAATACGGAGCATCTCAGCAGCCTCTAGACTTTCCTCATCAACAAGCTTCGATCCGATGCTGAGCAGCTGGGGGAATGAATGCTCCACAATCTTATCGAACTCCTCTCTCTTCTCGCCGGCTTTGAACCTGTAAACCCGGCAGACTGCCAAAAGACACTGCAGACCTGCATAGACCGTACTTGCGTCATTGGTGCCTAGGAGCTGCAGAGTAAGATCCAAGAATCCGGGCCACTGCTCGGGGAAGTCGTTTTGGAGAATCTTCTGGAGGAGGGGAACCAGTTGATTGCGAACATTGGGAGGCGTCGAGGCCAAGGCAGGGATAAGTCTCTCCCTGAAACTGGGCTTCTCAACTTCGGGGATTGGCGTACGCTGCGGGCTATCTTCGACGGGGGCCCATCCACGGGTAATACGGTTCTTCAGGTAAACACCAGCTATAAGAAAGAGCGGGGTCAGTAAGAGACAAAAGTCTTTTTTTTTCGCAGACCAATATAGACACCTGAAAACTTACCAGAGAGCTGGACTGCGTTGTTCTGTTCGCCTTGCAAGATATCCAAGAGTCCATTGATAAATCCGGGTTGCGTCTCGGCCTAGATATATCAACCACGTGAGCCTGACGTTTGGTGCCCCGCCAGTCGATCTAGCACGTACATATTTTAAATCAAGCTCCGCTTGTCGGCGAATATCCGCATTCGCATCTAGAGTAGACTGAATGCGGTCTCGGAGGGCTGTGACATCCATCGCGCAACAATCCCCAACACCAGAAAGTCAAAAAAATCTCCAAGTAAACAGAGAACCCCGGGGGGAGACGCGGACCGGCGCCGATTGAAGATGGGCGAGGGGAATGAGTCAAGGATTGCAAGGACGTTAATGTCCTAAATAGATCGTATGGATCTTGACGAGAAGGGGAGAGAAGTGGTGTTCTTCAAGAGGAGGGGGATTTTTTTCGATTTTCCAGACTTCTCGGGAGGCGGTCGCCCCGCAGCTAATCAGAGGCCGCACACACGGATTTTCTAAGAACTATGGGCTATACTATGGACTAGACTGCTATGGACTTGAGGTTGATTTATTACTTTATTACTTTCTATAAAATATTACCAATGTGGATATTTCATATGTTTCGTGTTCATTTCTTCGTCTTGATTTACATACATTGTGGTGAACCATCAGTGGGAAGGTTCATGACTACCCAATAGGGGCTCAGGCATTAAACCATATACCACCCCTAAGAATTGAGTATCTTCACATGTAAAGAGAGGCCGCGAAGATGACATCCCGTTTGATCAACTCCTGAGCTTGCTGCATCTTAGTGTAAAGTGTTGGGTCACCGACCAATTTGGCCGCATTCTTTACTTCGCGACAAGTCTCGTCCAGTCGGGTGATCACCCGAACAATAGTACCCTCCATCACGTCCGTGAGGTCTGTGATGCGATTGAAAGACATCCCCTTGGCCCACTCATAAACAACTTCAGCGAGACCAAAACGTGGCTTGCTGGCGAAGTCGTTGGAATCTTCACTGGACTGAATGACTTGATGCAGGATCTGGAAATCATTCACTTTCTCAGCGATACGAATGATTTCCTTCTGACCCTTCTCCAGACGAGGAGTGAGGGTGGGTGTGCTTTCTGTCTTCTCCTGGAAGACAAATGCGGATAGGAGTGCAACAATCTCCTCCGGCTCGTATTCAGCAAGAACGTTCTCGAGAACCAATTCGGTCAGTACCAGCTCGTCGGCGGAGTGAATCTCGCATGCCACTTTGCCCTTCAGCTGTACACGAGAGTGTTCGTCAACAAAGCCGAGCTCCCTCAGCACGTGAATGCGCTGCTCATAATCCGGAAGTAGTTGAAGGTTTTGGTCGGACATCAGTTGCTTCAGCTCCGAGATGTTTTCTTTAACTTGCCATTCGTCGTGTTGCATCTCAAACTATCAGGCATCAGTACGGGGTCCAGATGAATATTGATGAAGTACTCACATGATTCACGAAATCAGGGCATTGTAGACAGTGGCATGACTGAGAAATTTCTGCTTGGATTTGTCTTTTGTCAAGGATATCGCGGATTTCCATCTCTTTGATACGTTGCCAGTCAATTTCGTCCCAGGCAGTATCGATCCAAGAGGTAGTGAATTGGCACAATTCTCTTTCTGCCCACTTGACGGACTCTATTCCTGAATTAGTCTTTTTTTGATAACCGTGTTTGCAAAAAGAGGCAAATATGCTCTTACCTTTCTTAATGTTCAAATACCACATTGGTTTTGTGATCTTAACCTGGGTGTTTGTCACGCACTCGAGATCGGATAGTGGGACCTTGCACACTCGAAGGCTCATGTCATCGACGCGCGTGGGAAGTGACTGGAAATAGGGTCGGAACATAGGAAGGAATGGAAGAATATCGGTAGGGTGTCGTTTGCTACTCAGTGTTCCGATCTCAAGCACTTGAATACAGGGCACGGCCCCAACAATCCCCGCGGAAACTCCGTCGCGCGTAATAACACCAGCAGTACGGATCCCATCCTATATCTCAGGTTAGTATTTTACCAAACACGTACTATCAGAACGAAGCATGTGAACTCACCTTGCGGTACACAACCAGCCTCTTCATTGTGAAAAGACGCTTGCCGACAGGCGATGATAGCAGTTCGGTATGGAATTCAGCTGTGAGTTTTCGATACTCCATGGCGGCGTTATGGCACGCCAGCAAATCCAGGTCACAGATCTCACATGGTGCCCGTTTGATTTTTGCAAGACTGGCCTCAGATACCTGAACTTGCTTCTCGTGTTCAGGTAAGAGAGCTTGTGTTGCATTTTCACTGAAACTTCGCTTGATCATTTCCTCGATTTTCAGGGCTTCCACACGCAACAGATTTAGTATCATATTGTATGTGAGTCGGAATTGAGACCTGAGTTTTGTTGGGTCTCCAAGTATCATCTGTTTGAGCGACGCAGCAGATGGGGCCTCATCTTTCCCGCTGTTTGTCACGATAACATATCCCACCGTGTCAAGACCTCTACGACCAGCACGTCCAGCCATTTGCGTATATTCACCAGGCAGGAGGTCACGGAAGTTTTTGCCGTCGTGCTTACGGAACCCAGAGAATACCACAGTTCGGGTGGGAAGATTCAGACCCATCGCGAAGGTTTCTGTGGCGAACAGAACCTTCACCAGAGACCTAGCAAAGAGAATCTCAACCACTTCCTTCATAATGGGAAGGAGACCGCCATGATGTACAGCGATGCCTCTGCTTAGTAGCTCGCGAAGGCGAAGAATTTGCGGTAGCGTGCGGTCCTCAGGCTTCAACCGGGTGAGTGATTTCTCGATGAACATGTGGGTCAAACTCTTTTCGTTAGCATTGCTAAAATCTTGGTTTGACAGCGAATCTGCGTTCTCCTCGCATCGTTTCTTGGAGAAAACGAAGACACATCCCGGCAGCAAATCTTCTTTGCGAAGATGCGAGACGAGGTGCACCCAGGTGTTTTTGTCTTGAGCAGCACTTGTACGACCACCACCACGACCCGTACGAGCAATGTTGCCCGTTCCTCGGTTGGAATACTGACCGCCGCTCTGTCCCCGACCTCTTTGCGGACCTCCACGCTGTGGGCCGCCGCGGCCGCCGCGGCCACCTCTGTTATTCGCTGGCTGACCGCGTCCTCGAGGGCCTGTTGGTGCTCTAGCTTGCGCCGACTGTGCCTGAGCTTCAGCCTCCTTTTTGGCCTTGGCCTTATCTTTGCCGGACAGAATATCATCTGCTTCCTTCCAGCCGATCTCCAGGAATCTCTTGTTAGAATCAACAATCTTGTGTTTGCTCTTCCCGGCCCAGAGATAGTGCTCCAGCGGGACAGGTCGCTTATGGGTTGAAATCACATAAATGTCCTTTTTCTTTGTACGGCCCACCCAGGATGCAAACTCCCGGGTATTGGGCACAGTGGCAGAGAGAAGAATCAACGTGACATGCTCTGGAAGCATAATGATGACTTCTTCCCATACCACTCCTCGTTCGAGATCGTTCACATAATGCACCTCGTCAAAAATGACGAATTCAACGTCCCGGATGAGATCGGCGCCTCGGTACAGCATACTTCGCAAGATCTCAGTGGTCATGATGAGACAGCTGGCTTCCGGGTTGATTTGAACATCACCGGTCAAAATACCGACATCATCGAATTCAGCTCTGAAATCACGGTATTTCTGGTTGCTCAGCGCTTTGATGGGAGATGTATAAATCGCTTTGGTCATGTGTTTAGCAGCCAAGGCGATTGCATATTCGGCCACAACTGTCTTGCCTGCCGAGGTATGGGCCGCAACAAACACGGAATCGCCATTCTCAAGATGGTAAACAGCCTCCTTCTGGAAAGTGTCGAGCTCGAAAGGCCACTCTCTGGCCATGTCGGGTACCAATTCATTGAAGTTTGGAATATCCTTGTTGACGTCGACAACGTGGGCCCATTCTCTACCTTTTTGCTTGCGGACGCCTGAAAGCAACTGGCTACGTGGTTCCAATGCTGGGAACTCAACTGGTAGCAAAGCATCGATGTCTTCTTCATCTTCGTCGTCGCTAACATAATCAAGGTCCGCCTTTGCTCCTGTGTCGACATCCGCAGTTTCCTCAGGTCGGTCTAATTTCAGGTCGCTTTCCTCTTGAAGAAGGGCGGTTTCGACCTCTTGAGCACCCTCAGTGGCGTCTTTGGATTTGGCTTCATCGAAATCGATCCCGTTATCGAAACCAGGGGGTATCTTTAGAAGGCCTCCTTCACTGCCAAAGTTGATGATGCGATCAAGCCCAGATTGCTTCCCATTGCTCGTTTGCTCGGTGGACTGAGCATCGGCCTCCATTGCTGCCAAGGCCTCGATAGCATCCAAACCCCCGGGAGCGAACGGGAAAAAGCCTGCAGCACCTCTGACAAAGTCAGCACGGCCAGCAGGTCGGCGGAGAAGCGATGTGGAATTCTTGGCTGTTGCGCTTGCAGCAGGGACCGTGACTTCCTGGTATCCAGTAACTCGTCCTTCCAATCCCTCTCGCGTGAACCGGGTCACCGTCCGTGTTTGGGTTGGGGCGAGTTGGAAAAGGTCTGCATAATCCGTCGAAACGTCCCATCGTCTGCCAAAACTGTTAAAAGCTGCCCCGCAAACGAAAACAAGACACTTACTTCTGGAGAGTGTTCAACCATTTCGTGCTAAATTGGTCTGATGGAGTTAAAAACTCATTTTCAAGCTCTGTTAGCAACTCTTGGGCACTCTGAGGAGCTTGTTTCCGAGGTTGGAAGTTCTCCATCTTGCCATCCTCTTCGTCTGCGAGGAGAGCATCGAAGGTTGCAGGGCCAAAGTTTTTGCCTTCTAGGTCTAACTTCTTCATCGGGGAATCGAGCGAGTCCGCCATGGTGTTAAGAGATGTATCGGAGAGTCAACCGGTGAGTGAAATTATGTCGATGTTTGACTCGGCAGTAGCCGAACCCCACACCGATATGTGTTATCGATTTCAAGTTCGGGCAGAAATCCGGTAGGAATTGTTCTTTGACGTGAAGAAAAGAGATGCGAAGGATGAAATTGGCTTTGCGGGTGAGTCGTACGGAGTGTTTCGAAGTTATTTCATGCAAGTTTATGTAGCAACAAGTCTGCTTGGTAAACTTCGCTGAAAGACACTGAGGCGGTATTTTCGGGCAGTATCCATGACGTCGGTGTGGGGTTGTACGCTTAGGGCTACATGTACATATTGTAGAGAGATTTAGAAGAATAACCAATCCTTTCTCCTACAGACTACCCCTGGGTTTCCTTCTCCTATCTTCTGCTATTCTACAACCTGCCCTGGTTTTGTCTGCTTCGCAGACAGGCATTACCCGCATCTATGACAGGGCACCCCACTTCAATATGTACTTCGTAGTATGCATGCTTACATCTTGACGCGGTTTGATTCATATATTGATAGCAAGAGACCTCTAGAGCTTGTGGATTGGTTCTAGCCTTGATTACCCGCTACTTGGACCGCAGTTTGCCAACCAAAACTGTCCTAATTTGTGACGGCTAAAAGACGGTTAGCCGAATGGTAAAAACAGCAAGTTCTAATGCTAGCGAAATTTAGAGATAAATGCCTCGCTGTATTTGATATGCAAGTATATTTTACTGAGATCCTAACTGAATACATCATTAAACAACGCCAGGACATCGTCTTGAACGATGCACGTCGACTGTGGCCCGCCTCGATAGCTTGAATATTGTTTAATCTTTGTTAACAGGGCAAGTGGTCTCTTATATAGGATTGAAATAGTTCAAACTGGGCTTGCGAGAAGACCTATATGTAGGCGGTTATTATAAAAGAGTTATTGGCTTTGCCGCGCATAAAAGGTCAACACTGTTGGCGCATAAAAATACTGTCGAAACATACTAGGCCTACCTGAATTACAGGTCTACTCAGCCACTTTGGGGATCAGTATGGTACGATATCTCTCATTTCAATACCTCTTAATTGGGCCATTAACAGTATATCACGCTGTTATACATTCTACTTCAAGCAGCACAAGCATGACATCCAACGCGGCATGCTAATACCCGTTCAAGGTATTTTTTTCTTGTTTGTTGACCTGTTAATTTGTTTTGTTTGTCTGTTTGCCTGTTTTTTAAAATTTTTTATTCCAATTCGGACAAAATTGTGTTGGCAAAAAGAAAATATATGTATGAGCTAACTTTTTGCACTTCAATCAGTCATACAAAGAATTATAGATATAGCATAAAAAGACAAATGGGATAGTGATAAGATAATGTACGCCCCTAAGCGCCAGGAGGGTATGTAGCGTGAGAATGATTCCATATGAAAAAAAAGGATTGGGTTTGTTAGCACGATAAGAACGGGTTTTGCTCAGAGAGATCTGGAACATTTGTAGAATCCGCCTGACCAGAAGCAAAAGAAAATGACGAAGGGGGGGAAGTAAATGGGACCTGATGACTTTGAATAGAAAATTACCTGTAACGCCAGACATAGGACTTTAACGGCAAGAGAATATAGGGAATGTTTTTCGATCATGAATGTTCAGTGTAAATTCGAAAATTCCCTCCAGTGTAGCAATGTACCTGTAAACATTAGTCAAATTCAACAAAGTTGTTATTTTATACACTCACAATGTGCGTCCATCGGTGCCCCAGCCAACACCAGCAGTAGAATCTGGTTCCTCGGCGCCGGGGCCATGCATTGAATTTCGATCAGGGAGTTCATTGATTATGTTTCTGATCCAGCGGGGGGAATGTGTCTGCTCAAACCCGAGAAGCTGTTGGCGATGCCGTTGTTCTCTTTCAAAGGAGCGGTTGTGTACCTCATTGGCAATCTGGCGCTGGCGTCGAAGCCGTTCAGCAGCGACATTGGCACGAATCTCATATGTGGTGAGACGTGAAGTATCATATCTTCTTTCTGCTCCGGTTTGTGGCCGTTCAATGCGCCGGGGGATAGAGCTTGGTTGCTGGGATCGGTGAGTCAAGCCATGGATGTCGAGACTTGGATTAGAAGATCTAGTCGCTTCAGTTGGAATGATAGTTTCGTTGTTGACTACTTCAGGATTGGCACCAGCCCGAGAGGTAATTTCTGACCGGAGTGGTGTAAGCTCCGAATGCGAGGTGGAATAACTAAGGGTGATGCCCGATTGGCGATCATGGGGAGAGGACGTCGCTTCCGAAGGTCGACTCCCTTGAGATACCACCACCGAGCTCCGACGTCTTGGATTAGATAGAGTGCGGCCCAAATGGCTATCTCGGGAGAAATCAGAAGAATCATAGTGATGCAGGGGTGGCGTAGTAGGACGATGAGTGCGAGTGGCACTATCTGTGGAACCGTGATTCCGCGGCCGAGCCACTGGTTGGGGTTGAAGGCTTGTCCTAGCTGGGCGTTCTGGTCGTTCAGTAAGTCCTTCTTCCAGTCGCGATGTCCAGCGCGCCGTGTTCAAAAACTCCATAATCAACCGTTCCCTCTCGGTAAGATCTTGAATCAAAGATTCTCGCAGAGACGACTGCTCTGTGCCCTCTCCGTTCCGTTCAATCTGGAAATCTTCGTGATCAAGTCTGTCGCGGGGACTTGTCTCCAAAAGGTCATCGTTCAGGGGATGTCGCTCGAGATTCTCCGTCGAAAGATCCGTGTACACTTCCTGCAATTGCGAGTCATTGGAATCTAAAGAGAGTATTTGCCTGCGCATAAAATGTTGGCGAACGTCGGCCACACCGGCTCTGCCGTGGCCCTCCAGCCATACAAGAAGGTCCCATGGCTCGGGTGAAAAGGCCATACAACGAACTGCACCACCCTCAGCACATGATCTTGACGCCGGGAATTGACAAAGAATAGCGGAGTCGTCTTCAGAATCGCCAAAATTTTTGTAGATAGACTCAAGGTCGATAATCGTGATGATCCCAGATTGTGATCCAATGGCGCACAAGCGACTGGATGGCGAGAAAGCGACAGTGAAGCAGCACGCATCATCCGCCCGGAGACCAATGTTCATCTCCAAGCGATTGATAAGCTCCCATTCCCACCCGGTGAGCTTTTCTCCAGATGCAGTTGTCCCAGAAGATTCAAGGTCACGAGTGATTTCATAAAAATAGGCGTGATTCTCATCTCCTACTGCCGTGAGTAGTTTAGAATCCGGGGAAACCGTTGCATAGTTCATACAAGTCGGATGATGAAGGACCTTCAATACTTTCGCGCGAGTCAGCGAATATACCGTGACTGTCCGATCATTATTGCTATTCAAATTGGGTTAGCATAAGCAGTACACACATTTTCCGACCAGCGCGCACCTCAGAACCACGACATCTTCATCTGCCAAGTCCTCGTTGCCACCATAAAAACGATGGATAGCCACTGAATTGACAATGCTCCCACCAAACCTGTGGAGCTCTACTTCGGGGGATGCTCTGTTGCTTCGATACCGGGTTGATGCAGATTCCCCATTGAAATCACCCGGCGAAGTCATGCTTGACGGTGGGTCGAGATCGAGCGGGAGCGCACTATCCACATCGGTTTGGAAGGGCGCATCGTCATAGACTTGCATTCCATGATCACCGATGCGAATGAAAGCACATTCACCATTTTCTGGCCCCCCCACTACTATCCAACCATGCGCAGCGACCAGACAGCGAGGCTCAAATGGGATCACCGCTAGACTCTCACGCTTCTGTGCCGATATGTGTATTGACCATACGGTTCTCTCGACCACGACATAAATGCGATCGGAATCAGCAGTGCTAATGTAGTTGCGAAGCTGTGTGTGACTAAAACAGAGCTCTCTTAGGTTAGGTTGCGCACGGAAGATGAGTCGGATTGATCAACGAACAAGTTGGGGATCTTGAACGGGAAGAAGCGTCGCTTGGTCGGGAGGATAAGAGCCTCGGTTGGGCGATGTCTAAGATAAGCTACGTTAGAGCTATTCCGATAGTAGGATGCACCATGCTCACAGCAGAGTCGAATCCGAGGTCATGGTGGATAGAGCTAAGCCAGAGATGACATTGTTCGAGCGGGGAAGTTTTAAAGACAAGATAAACGGGGTGCCCCCGTTGGAGTATTGTCAACTTGGCAAGTTGTTTAGGCGGCGATGGCTTTGTTTTTTTTTGTTCTTTTGAATAAATTTCCTTTAGAACAGTCTGTGCTCTGCAGTTCAGAGTCAAACTGAGTGCCCTTTTCATGGATGACGTAAGACATGGGACTGGGACAAAAAGCCGGGGAACTGCAAATTCCAACGAATGCGGTTTGACTGTCACTCCGGAACCGGCCTTGATCATTCATAATGATGCACTACACTGTTTTGGTGGTTTTTGCACACGGATATGATTTTTTCGCTTTGCATTAGTACATTCTTAAAAATCCTATATACTCACCTGCGCATTGTGTGCACAAGATTCGCCGTGTTGCCACCCAAGTCTCGTCAGTTCCAACGATCTGGACCAGGCATTGTTCCCCCCCCAAAGTACATGGATTGTCATTGACCATCTAGATCCAGGCGAATTTTTAGCTCTGTTCTCAATCTTGTCTCAGGTTCAGCTAAATCATCGGCGAAGGGGAGTTTGCCGATCAGGTCACACGACGCGTTAAGAGTATGACTGGTTCACCCACTGGAGATACACGATCGTCGTAATTTCGATGAAGAAAATGCTTATTGCGACAGCGCTTTTGCATACTATTGTATAAATATAACCCCAGATCATATATATAGACCTCGGGAGTAGCTCGGAGGTTTAGTCTTTGCCACAGCGGAATGATATGCCATTGAACTGCCACTTGATAGAATATGTTGAATATGTTGGATACTCAGTACGGAGTAAATCGTACGGAACATATAGTTAACACTCTATATAGCTATCCCAATGAATCCCAGTATGTCTCAATACATCTCAATTCATCCTAGTTACCCCATTCTCCAAGCATATCGCAATGTATAGCCGCATATACGGCACCCACAAGGCGGTGAGCTCGGTTACCAGGAGGCTGTCGACCGCAACTCCCGTCCTGATTGGTCCAATCCCGTGATTCTACCAAGTTCGACGGGCCGAAGCTCTCCGTGCAATTTCTATTTCCTTTTCCCCTTCTTTTCGATTCCATCTCTCCATCTCCATATCTTCCACCCCTTCTTCTGTCCTTTTATCACTTCACGATTGAGTCGTTGGAGTGTCTCTTTTTCTCTTTTCTTTATTAATTAATTTATCACAATGCTTCCTCGCACAATTACTCGCGCAGTAAGCTTTAACTCTTCCCCGAGGAAAAATCCTACGCGTCACACGTCACTGACTAAAAGTTTTTCACAGCTTCCGCGCGCTGCTTTCGCTCGCACTCCTGCCTCCAGACTCCCTGCCTCATTCCGGAGATGGAACTCCACAGAGGGTGGTGAGGAGAAGGTAAAGGGCCAGGTCATCGGTATTGATCTCGGTAAGTTCTGGCGCGAGATTAAGATCAACTTTCAATCCCGACAGTATTCTGATATGCCCCGATATAGGTACCACCAACTCCGCCGTTGCTGTTATGGAAGGCAAGGCCGCCAAGATCATTGAGAATGCCGAAGGTACGTGACGAGAAATTTCAGACAAGTGGTCAGAGCTTCGGAGATCGAATCCAGGAGACTTCCACTACGGTCTTATGGGCTGAAATGGAAATCGGGAATTAACTCAATGTTTCAATAGGTGCTCGCACTACTCCCTCCGTTATTGGTTTCGCCCAGGATGGCGAGCGTTTGGTCGGTATTGCCGCTAAGCGTCAGGCCGTTGTCAACCCCGAGAACACTCTGTTCGCTACTAAGCGTCTGATCGGTCGCAAGTACACCGATATTGAGGTTCAGCGTGACATTAAGGAGGTTCCCTACAAGATCGTCCAGCACACCAACGGCGACGCCTGGGTTGAGGCCCGTGGCCAGAAGTACTCTCCTTCCCAGGTTGGTGGCTTCGTCCTCAACAAGATGAAGGAGACCGCCGAGGCCTACCTCGGCAAGCCCGTTAAGAACGCCGTTGTTACCGTGCCCGCGTACTTCAACGACTCACAGCGTCAGGCTACCAAGGATGCTGGTCAGATTGCCGGCCTGAACGTTCTCCGTGTTGTGAACGAGCCCACCGCTGCTGCTCTTGCCTACGGTATGGAGAAGGAGGCTGACCGTGTCGTCGCTGTCTACGATCTCGGTGGTGGTACCTTCGATATCTCCGTCCTTGAGATCCAGAAGGGTGTCTTCGAGGTCAAGTCCACCAACGGTGACACTCACCTTGGTGGTGAGGATTTCGATATTCACCTTGTCCGCAACATCGTTGCTGAGTTCAAGAAGGAGACCGGCGTCGACCTTACCGGCGACCGTATGGCCATCCAGCGTATCCGTGAAGCCGCCGAGAAGGCCAAGATTGAGCTGTCCTCTTCCCTCCAGACTGAGATCAGTCTTCCCTTCATCACTGCCGGCGCCAGCGGAGCTCTGCACATCACCCAAAAGATGACCCGTTCTCAGCTCGAGGCTCTGGTTGAGCCCCTTATCTCCCGCACCACTGAGCCCGTCCGCAAGGCCCTGAAGGATGCCAACCTCCAGTCTGGCGACATCCAGGACATCATCCTTGTCGGTGGTATGACTCGTATGCCCAAGGTCACTGAGTCCGTCAAGGCCATCTTCGGCCGTGAGCCCTCCAAGTCCGTCAACCCTGATGAGGCTGTTGCCATCGGTGCCGCCATTCAGGGTGCCGTCCTGGCTGGTGAGGTCACTGATGTCCTCCTGCTCGATGTCACTCCCCTTTCCCTCGGTATTGAGACCCTCGGCGGTGTCTTCACCCGTCTGATCAACCGCAACACCACCATCCCCACCAAGAAGTCCCAGACCTTCTCTACCGCTGCTGACATGCAGACCGCTGTCGAGATCAAGGTCTACCAGGGTGAGCGTGAGCTCGTCCGTGACAACAAGATGCTGGGTAACTTCCAGCTTGTTGGCATTCCCCCCGCTCACCGCGGTGTTCCCCAGATTGAGGTCACCTTCGACATTGACGCTGATTCTATCGTCCACGTCAACGCCAAGGATAAATCCACCAACAAGGACCAGTCCATCACCATTGCTTCCGGTTCCGGTCTTTCCGATGCTGAGATCCAGTCCATGGTCGAGGAGTCCGAGAAGTACGCTGAGACTGATAAGGAGCGCAAGGCTGCCATTGAGGCCGCCAACCGCGCCGACAGCGTCCTGAACGATACCGAGAAGGCCCTCAAGGACTTCGAGGACCGTCTTGACAAGGCTGAGGCCGAGGCTATCAAGGAGAAGATCGCCACTCTCCGTGAGTTCGTTGTCAAGAGCCAGTCTGGCGAGAGCACCACCACTGCTGAGGAGCTCAAGGAGAAGGTCGACGATCTTCAGACTGCCAGCTTGACCCTCTTCGACAAGATGCACAAGGCCAACAACGAGCAGCAGCAACAGCAGCAGCAGCAGGGTGGTGAGCAGCAGGGTGAGAACAAGCAGTAAATGCTTTTTCCCTCTTATAACTGCCACACCTGAACCGTAAATGGTTCCTGTATTTTTCTATCAATTTCCTTTTTCTTTTTTCCTTTTGTGCTCAGAGACTCCCTGATTTTTGCATCTCCTTTCCTCGCATTTACCTGTACACATACTTTCAAGGCCCTTTTTACCCCTTTCGTGTTTCCCGGTGTATCGGTGTTAAAACTACCACACCCATGTATGATTCTATATTCTTTTCTCTTCTGCCCTCGCTCCACTATTCAGGTTAATTGCCTGAGAGTGGTCATACCGGGATTGTCTACAATTGTATCTAATGACATTACGGCAGGGGGGCCACAAAAAAGGATGTGGTAGGCTTTGGCTTTCATGGGCATGTGACAATAGAAATCGGACAATTCTCCTCTCGCTTCACAATTATTTTCTTCCAATTTTCAACTGTATGTGTATCAACGCTATCAAGCAATGTCCATGTGTACATATGCGCGGTGTACTTTTTTTGCGCCTATCTGCTAGTGACACGGGCAACTGGGACATTTGCTGCCTCGCGGATGCAGCCGTATTTACTTCCAGCCTATCAGCTTCCAATTCTATGCATATGTACATGTACATAGGTACTTGATACCGGCCCATCCAGACTTCATAGGCACAGAGACAAACAACACACTGCTCGAATCCTCACTGCAATATGATACGCTTTCTCGCTTTGCAGCATGTACGGAGTACGCCGTTTCCATTCACAGTTTGCATATCCATGGATGGCATAATGATATGGGATTGGTAATCATTCGTGTTGTACAAGAAAAGCCGGCCATTTATGCGGCCTCTGTCCTTGACTTGACAATTTAAGATTAACACTACGATATATAACTAAGGATATAGCAACCAATGAAAGCAATAGCGGCCTGGCCAGTAGTAGCAGTAGCTATTATTATCCAGAATACGGAGTACGGAGTATAATTTAACGCGGTCAATAACAAGAATATTACTGGACTCAACAATATGTCCGCAAAACTCAAATATCTGGAGCGATGACAACGATGATAGGCCAGAAGCTTCCAACTGGCGCATGGATTTGGAACCTTAGCTTTGCCAGAGCACACACGTTGGAGCCAGTCACCTGAAACTGTATGGCTTTCAATTGCACCAATCTGATAATTTGATTATGGCGTCTGCGCATCCACTTTGTTATCATCATACTTTGTACTCCGTACAAGGTTTGAACTGCAGCCCGTTTGGCTGGACCAAATCTTCTCTATGCGGAAAAGTCTCCTCATCTTTGCATGATCCACAAAGGATCAAGGCTCACTCTTGCTAGTGAATGATAGGAACTCGGTCGAGAGGCGCTAGAGTGATAGAAGGCATGATAGGGGGGTGCATAACAGAGTAGGAGTAGCTAGATACAGTACACATCAATGTAAGTAAAAGGTAAGTTTCTGCAAGCTTCTATTGTCTATCTCCTTATGTCCCCCCTTAACTTAAACAATACATGCTTACTCTTAGAACAATTGCTTTTGCTCTTGATATATCGCATCTTCGTATGAATCAACGAGAAACAAGATTTGGCCCGACATTAAAACAAGGACACGAGAAAAGCAACGTCTTACTATCAGGCCAATCTGGACTGGAGCTGGTGACAGAGCGAAGCAATCATGCAGGCTTCCCTGCAGCGGTGCGGTCAAGTAGCAAATCATCGTTGTACACACCAGTTGGGCTGCTACAGTGGGTCCTTTGCAGATGATGTTTGTATGGAGTAAATAATTATTTCTAATAAGATTATGTAGGCTTTGGTTTAACGCAGAACATTTGAAATAGACAGGGGAGAAGAGAGACATGTGGTACCTACCCCGGGTACTTCCTATATTGGTAAATATACAGAGAGTACCACTAGAATGGATCTAAGTACGGAGTAGTAGTATTAACATCTCTAGATGACTCTTAAGTCCCGGGCTTACTACTGTACTCCGTAGAAATTTTTCAAACGCCCACATAAGTTTCGCTCTCGCCCATTCGTCGATCACTTCTTGTATGAGACCATGTGCCTTAGCGTGCCCCTAGTACGTATGATTATTTCCATTTCCCCACTATGTTGACATGTTTTTTTCTTTATTATTTTATTACTCCAGACTCAATTTTCCCTTTTTACCTTTGCTTTTCCTTTGCAAGCTAAGCCATGGCGTTTGCTGCAGACCCATAATCATACCTTAGAGAAAATGCTCCGTACGGTGTACATCCAAGTCACTTGAGCAAAAAAAAAGCCCCCCCCCCCCCATACCACAGACCCATATCCTAGCTATAGTTTTGGAGGTTCTACGGAGTAAATATGTGGGTTATGTTAATATTTCCTTTGATTTCTAATCCTCTGGCCTTTCCAAGGTTGATAATAGGTATAATGTGTTGTGGTTCTTATATGTTGTATGGAGAGTACTCCGTATATAGGGAATAGTTGGGACACTACGTACTAAAAGAGAGAAACTTGGAATGAGGTACATAACAAATCAAATAGATTGATGCCACCAGACAATAATATGTGGAGAGTAATGTACAGGAATGATGTACTATTTACTCCGTACAAGGGAACACATGAGGACATCAAAAGTTCAAACGATTGTGATTCTTCCCGCTTCTATGGCTACCATGGAACTTTTCAGGAACAAATTCCCCCCTGTGTTACATAATGATCTCCAGGATAAGTGTACTCTTGGCAGTAATGGGGGTAGATCTGTTGCTTATTATTGGACGATTCACGCTGGAATTATGTGCAAAGTACTTGGAAAAATTCAATCGGGGAGGCTCTGATTCGAGGCTTTGACTATCGAATTTAACTTCCAAGGTTTGTTTTTAGGGCGATATACTTTGTAGATAAAATCCATAATATATACACTATACTAATCCTACAATATGATAATACTATAGTAATACTATGATACACTATATACTATAATCAACTCCTAATTTCTCCGGCGAAAGGAGCTAAAATTGGAAGAATTATTGAAACTTGAATTACCCTTATATTACTTTAAAATTATAGTCTGTTTGGACCAATGATGCTCATGGGGGTAACTGCAGTCAGAATTTTTTAGACTTGTCATGTTCAGACCCCTGAAGGAAGATGTCAAGTGACTTGGATTTTTTTTCAATGTTTTTATTTGGGGATGCCGATCATTGGTGCAATAGATTAGTGATCCATTTCTGATCCATTCTGATCCAAAGGGAAAATGAGACTAGAGGAATGGATTAAATGGACTAAATGGACTAAATGGATCAAATGGATTAGGGCTAAGGGTTGATAAATTGTGATTTGCTTACATTTTAGCGTCGAGTCAATCCCATGGATATGAGTTGTTGTCATTTCAGGTCTCCATTAGGGAAATTAAAAAACATTCTACTGTGTACAATTTATATGTTTGTATATACATGTTATATTCTATGTTCCTAATTACCCTACCAATATCCTATTCAATAATCTATGTCTACGATCAATCACAAGTATCCCCTGAGAAGATCCCCTTACGCCGTTACGGGAATTTTCAAGATAACGGGGGTGCAGAAGGGTCGCGCTAGTGGAAGTCATTTCTTATTTTCTATTATTATATATTATATATATATTATATTTGGCATATTATATATGTATTTTCTTTTTTTTTTGAATATTTTTTATCTATTTTTTTCCCTTTTTCACACATTTCTATAAAAAATATAGGGATATTAGTATAGTTAGCTCCAAAAGGTCTGAATGTCAATCCTTTTTCTAAACCGTCGACCCATAGATCGGAAATGGGTCTTTCCTTTCGATCCTTGTCTCATCCTGTTTTCTTTTTCTTCTTCTTTTTTCTGTTTCTATTCCTTTTTTGACTTCTTCCCTTCAACTTTTGGTGGAGGGTTCTAAACTGTACTCTAGTCTCCAAAGTCCATAACAATGACAACTGCACCGCCGGTACATCACGGCCCTGATAGTGGTATACCCGCCCATCTCGTCAATCATCTCCCTCGCTATCATCCTATTGCCATGAATCCGAATCCACCTCCACACCAAATGCCACCTCCGGAGCAGATGGTACAGAGCCACCATTTCCGTCATTTCGCGCCGCCCATGCATGAACATCATCCCCAAGGAATACCACCAGTACACAGTCCAGCTTCGTTGGAACATATTGAAGCTAGACTCCGCCATCTAGAGCACGAGGAAATGGCCCGGAATGCAACCCGTAGCCGCATTCTGGCAATGCGGAAGCATGAAGATGAGGAATTTCGGTCCATGACGGAGCGAGCCGAGGCAGAGGAAGAGGTAATGCCGAATCGTTTTGATATTCATGTGGAGGATTGGAATGCTAAAACAAAGCTTCACAGGACCTTCGAAGACAACGCAAGAAGTTAAAGAGAGAGTCCATGGGCTTGGGGCTCAACGCTGCGAGTGACTCGCCACCTCTACGGCCTACACCACCTCGCCGATTATCAGAGACTAGTGCAGCAACAACGTTGGCTTTCTTCAAGCAACAGAGTCCCCCCGAGCCCCGTCAACCACCCATTCCACCATCATCTCAGGCACCGCCTCCCTCAATGCCGCCACCCCATATGCACTCTCAACCTCATCATCAAGCTCCCCAACCTCCCCCACCATCTCAGCATCAACACCCAATGCTTCCCCATGACTCAATACACAGCGCTGGCTCTATTCGCCGCAAGCAAAAATACACCATCAAAAATGTAGAGGCATGGGGCGAACGCCACGGCCGACCAGCAGCTCACGACCCATCCGGGCGAGCATTGTGGAAGCGACCCTCCGATGGAAGTCTAGTATATCTCACCTGCCCGATTCACGGCTGCGGGAAATCCGACTTCGTCACCCTCCACGGCTTCATGTGCCATCTCACCAAGAAACACAAAGACCGCACACTGGGCAGCCAGTCTCGTGCCCTCGAAGTCTGCGGTGTAGTCTTCGACCCGAATGCTCCCCTCCCGCCAGTCATGAACAGCCACCGGGCCTCGGCAGAAGGAAGTCCCCTGGGCTCTATTCCCTTGGACCACGACGGCGACCAGCACTACGATGACATGGACTCCGAGTCCGAGGGCGAGCTCGAACGCGAGGGCTCCTACCGAGTCAAAACCGAAGTTCTCGATCGATTCATGCCCGAGGCCGAGGGCACTCCTATGGACTCCACTGCGGCAACACCCCCAAGCACACAACCAACGGATCAACCAAGCAGTCCATTTCATCCATTATCGACCGCACTCCCGAAACAGATTCCAGAGAGGCGTTGGCGACCCTTCCACCGTCAGAATCTGGTATCCAGGGTCCATCCCCTACACCAACCGAGTCGTCTGTGCCGTCGAAGCGCAAGTACGAATTCTCGCCGTCAGCAGCGGAAAAAGAAAACGCGGAGCCTTAAGATGGTATCCGTGCGGAGTAATGTTTATCTTCACTGTCGATTTCCGCCGGCAATACATATATACACCATACATAATTCTTTCTTGAGCGTCTGGCGGATATCAGGGCTCTCGATATGATAATCAATTGCATCATGTTACTACTACATCTCTTGGCAGTATCTTTTTCTAGATACCCTTTCGTTATACCTGGGTGGTGCGAGTGTCTTTCATTTCGTTTGAATTGAGCAGCTTGATGTTGCGCGTGATTGTCATATAATGCATCCATAGCTAATTGCATACATATTTAGCATAACTGAGTTCATCCATATATGTCTACTGCAGTAAAATCCCCCTATATATATAACACATGGTATGATCTAATGAACCTTATAGATATTGATATGAACATATCTGTATATATGGGGTTCAGACTTCTGCTATAGAAGTTGTTTAATCGAGGTATCGGAATTTTAGGCGGACGCTTGATTTGCGCAAGCTTTGTAGGTAAGTATGTACGATATTGCAAGGATGTTGCGAGTGTCTCGAACCAGTTACAGTTATATCAATCTGCTCATTTCCCGACTTGTCAGTAAAGAGCCCGAACCATACCGTCGAGCAGGTAAGGCTCTCAATGTGTAGTCTGATTGAAGTGTCTCTTTCAAAAAAGAAAGAAGATGAAAGAAAGGGAAAGAAGGGCCCCGGGGTGGGGGGGGGGGTTTATAGTGGGTGATCCTCCTAATCAGGAAGGAAGTGATCTTGGTTTCCAAATGGCAACTGCGAATTGAATTGTGGCAGAGGGGATATTCCAAGGTGCAATCTGCATCCGCCAGGGAAATTCCCGACGACCGCTCATGGAAAGTTTTGCTAGAAAATATCCCTCGTGTCAGTCTCGCTAGTTTGCAGCCATCTGAGAGTACGGTTGACCCGATCATTTTGATAGGAGGGGAGCTTGAGCATCTAAATTAGCTATATACAGTACCTAAACAGCATATATGCCCCAAATACATATGAGCAAGCCAATCATACCTATATACAGATGTTGTATCTACAGCTGTACTTGTCTATTAGGAATCCTTCACCAATAATAAATGTACCAAATATCCAGATCCACTCCGCAGTCCCTCCCCAAGCACATCATCACTCAACCTCCAAACCCGAAACTCCTGCATCGTCTCCCTAAGCCAAGTCTCAAACACATCCGGCGACCGCTGCTGCTGCGCGACAATACAAACCGTCGGCTTGCGGTGCGAACGAGTTTCCTCAGAACCGGGCACATATGCCGGCCGCAGTCGACAGATATCGGCGCAGGTGCGCACGAACGGTGCCACAAGTGCTTCATTATATATGCAGTCGCAGGAAAGGAGGAGATCGAAGCCTTTATCTTCCTCTCCTTCTTCCTCTCCATGTTTGCCATGAGTCTCATCGGGATCCATACATTCCTTCAATGAGGCGGCCTGGTCAGTCTCCCAGTCCAGGGTTGTGAATGAGATATTATCGACGGGCTTGGTGATCGAGCTTGGCTTTGATTTGGATTTGGATCCCTTACTCTTGCCCTTTGCTTTGCTGTTGCTGTTGCTAGAGGATACAGGGACGGATGCATTTGCGTCAAGATTCGTTCGGAATAACTTGCGTACGTATTCCTGGTCTGTGGCGATGTAGTGGCGCACTGAAGGCGCCAGTACGAGCGCGACTAGTGCTGAAATCCCGGTCCCGAGTTCGACTACTGTTGAGCTCTGGCTGAGGAGGGCGTTTTTCCAGAGCGGATTTGAGGGATTGGTAACCCATTCTGCGAATAGGGGGGTAATTTTCCATAGAACTGGGGTTGCTGGGTTAGTACTGATTTAATTCTGGGATGGTTATTGATGGCAGTGGTCATGAAAATGAAGGAGCCAAGATATCCCAAGCTATGGATAAGTAGCAGGTGACGATTAAACCTCGTGTTGAGGGGACAAAAGTACAAGGTGACAGTATTAGGGCCCAAGACCAAAAAGAGAGACATTCACCCCGAGAGCCGAGGCACAGCCAGGCGGCAAGGACGACTCGACGCCTCGACTCTCGGGCCTGGTCTGGGCACACTTCGGTCTCGGATAAGAGTCCTGCGGAGTAGTCCGTGCTTGACTTTTACGTCTCTGGGGGATTCTGGGGCAAATCATAAAGGACTTGGTGCAGATCATGCGAGCTCTTCGAGTATGTGTTGTACTCTGTACTCACCGGCGCCTGTAGTCCCCCCTGCTCGATGGGAGGAGAGTAATGATGGTGACTGATGGATTATGTATTCATTTCCATTGATAGAGATTTCTACTGATGGTGCACGGGGATTGAGCATCCCTAAGTTGTTGCTTGGGATGTCTTGTGCGAAAAGGAGAAATGATTCTATAGAGAGTTCAGTGGCTCAGTGGATGTACCTGGGATACTCGTAGGGGGGTGGCGTACCCTCATCCACGTCGATGACCTCTTCACCATTGGCGAATAAGTCGATGAGTTGGTCCATGAGTGGCTATGCATGGATGCTTTATGTTTTATGCGGAATACTATTTTATTTTTACAGTTTTTTTTAGGGATCACGGGACCAGGGTATACAATGGCATTTCATGAGTATTTGCACCCAGGTACCTCGATTTTTGACCGCTCCTTCACACCGCCTGCCTATTTATACTAGTATAACCCCACGCAGCGCGCGCGCTACGCGTAGTATACCTACTTATACTGCGTATATTGTTCAAGAACTACTACGTGAGATAAATATCAATATTATAGACTGGCCTCTATATTCACCTGATCTAAACCTAATTGAGAACCTTTGGGCGTTGTTGAAGGCTGATATCTTGAAACTAAGGCCTTGGTTACGCGAGATACCGAATAATAATGAGACCTAGGCTGAGCTGGTGGATACAACGCAGTACATATAGGAGAACCTTACAATTCACCACTTTGTAAATTTAGCAGAGACTATGCCTCACCGAGTGGAGGAGGTTATCAAATATAAAGGGTGGCATACTAGTTACTAGGGAGTTTTGAATATGAAGTTTTGAATCGGCAGAAAAAAAGCGGGTCCCGGGCCTTCCAAGGTACCGGGGTGCAAATACTCATGAAATATGACTGTATATGGACATAGTACGGAGTATGTAACGTGTGACTAGGGTATGAAATATAAACCTCGGAAGCATCCTCGGAAGTATATCAGACATATAATTTATACTTAGCGTATGAATATATGCTCTGTATAAAGATAAAATAATTGTTGGGAATTCAACAGAAAGGAAACCCGGAACTGATCTGCCGGTTAATAATGGTCAAATCAAATAGGAACAAGTTCATGAACTCAGTAGGCTACATATTTCTTGATTTCGAGCTATGTATCAAATGTTTACTCCGTACATTTGAAGAGAAATAGATTAAATTGTTTTTCCAAAAAAAAGGGCTCGTGCCTGTTGCATGTAATCGACCTAAACCCAAAAAAAAAAAAACTACCAAGGCCGAAAAACCTTGGACCTCCTGCGTCATTTGCCGAAAGACCAGCCACAGATATCCAACCTCAAGACCAACTTTGGAACTTTCTCCTCTTCTCTCCTGTGAATGCTCAATCATACTATAATACCCCCTTTTCTTTCTCGACTTGGTAATTTCCATTCCATTCCAGCTCCTGCTGTAGCTTCCTACAGCTCTCGTGTTTTTCCCCTTTACAGGGTTACTCCGCGCTATTCGTGCACTAGCTAACCTACGGCCCCTCGAGTAGAGGAACTTTTCTTCGAGTAACCCGCTCGATCCCCCGGCTTCTTCCGCACTCACTCTGAGCGAGCAATACAGCAAACATGACGCAAAATCTTGTCCTCCAGCCGCGCATGTCCAAGAAGGGCCCCTTCTCGGTCGAGGCGTCCGGGTACGAGCGCGTCCCCGGTGAGACAATCCCCCGTCGGCACCCCAAGGCCAAGGATGGCCTCATTACGACACTCCAGGATGTTACTACTACCTACGAAAATATGCGCCGATCCGCTCGCGTCTTTGGAAACTCCAAAGCTGTTGGCAGTCGCAAGCTAATCAAGACCCATGTGGAGAACAAGAAGGTCAAGAAGGTCGTGGATGGTGTCGAGCAGGAGGTTGACAAGCAGTGGACCTATTTTGAAATGAGTGGTTATACCTACAAGACCTTCCTAGAATATGAGAAGCTCTGCCTGGAGCTTGGTAGTGGTCTCCGCAAGCTGGGTTTCGAGAAAGACGGTAAAATTCACCTCTATGGTGCAACGAGGTAAGAGACACATTGTGCCTCGGAAGAGATTCGGTGCAGGATGACTGACTTGATTGCCCTTGATAGCGCAAACTGGCTGGCCATGTCGCACGGTTCGTTTACCCTTTTTACCCCCTCTCCATGATTTGCGAACGAATTTACTAACTTACCATTACAGGCGCTTCCTCTCAATCCGTGACCATCGTGACCGCATATGATACCCTAGGCGAGGAGGGCCTACAGCACTCTATCGTTCAGACCGGCAGCACTGCCATCTTCCTCGACCCCGGCCTGCTGAAGTCGCTCATTAGCATCCTCCGGAACGTGCCCTTAATCAAGCACATTATCTACAATACCGACACGGAAATGGACCAGAAGCTTCTTGATCAGTTACACAGCGAGTTCATTCACATCAATGTGATGAGCATTGAGGAATTGCGCAAGCAGGGCGAGGAAAACCCCGTGGAGCCTGTTCCCCCCAAGCCAGAGGACCTGTGCTGCATCATGTACACCTCGGGCACAACAGGCCCACCGAAGGGTGTGCCATTGACCCACGCCAACGTGATTGCTGCTAGTAAGCCGAACAGAACCCATGGAACCGCTATCTATTAAGCTAACGTCTCGCAACAGCTGCTGGTGTTCACGCCGTGATCGGTCCCTGTGTTAACCACACGGACTCCCTCCTGACCTATCTCCCTCAATCTCATATTCTAGAATTCATGTTTGAGAACATGTGCTTGTTCTGGGGTGGTACCATGGGATACGGTAACCCCCGAACATTGTCCGATGCTTCTA